GAAGCCGACGGCGACGGCCAGCGGGACGGCGGCGGCGTCGGCGGCGAAGGACAGGTCGCGGGCGTCCGAGGCCAGGCGGGGGTCGGCGGCCGGCCCGTCGACGAGGGGCGCGAGGCGCACGGCGCGGCGCAAAAAGGCGGGCACCACGACGAGGGCCCACACGAGCTGGCCGCCGGCTAGGTTGAAGACAAGCCAGGGCCCCGTCGGGTGGGCGATGAGCGGGGCCGAGGCGTTGCAGAGGCGCGAGGCCTCGACGGCCGTGACGGTGGCTAGGCCGCCGAGGAGGGAGAGGACCGAGGCCATGGACGCGGCGGCGCGGGCCGACGCGGCCGCCTCGGAGAGGAACGAGACGAGGTAGCAGGCGGGCGCGCCGAGGAGCGGCACGTGGCTGAGCCAGGGCACGCGGGCGCGCGCGTGGCACTGGCTGTAGAGCAGGCCCGGGTTGACGTCGTGCAGCGCGAGCGTCACGGCCAGGCCGACAAAGGCGGCGGCCAGCAGGACGGGCACGACGAGCAGCTGTGGGTAGCTGAAGCGGTGGACGGGCAGCTGCGGGCGGCGCGCCCGGGGAGATGGCGTGCGGTCCGCCATGTCTATGTGAGGTTGGCTTTTCCAGGGGAACTATGATGAGGGCGAGAATGCCGAGCTTAACTGAGGTTGGGAGCTCAACTGAGGTTGGGAGCTCAACTGAGGTTGGGAGCTCAACTGAGAAACGGGCGGCGACCGATGTCAAATGATGCGCCCACCATGTGTTGGGTCCCACAAATAGCCGCTCAGTGACGTCCCCCACAGCGCAGGGGCCACTGTAATACCTACCGCAATGACGCTCTCGTGCAGCTGCTTTGTCCCAATTGGGGGGGCACGAGACCTCACTGGCTGGCCCTGACCGGCTCCATCACGCGGTTGGCTGGGCTGAAGATGAGTCCTACAGAGCACATATACGAACGTAGGTACATGGAAGCCATGTTTACGGTTATATACAGAAGAAATAAAGAAAATGGCCTCATATCTTTTCTTTAGCTCATCCGTCTTCATCATGTTGGAAACTCGACACCGCCGCTCCCGCCAAAAAAGTCGCTCCATGGCATGGACGGGTCGTACTGGCTGATGTTGAAGTTGAACTCTTCATCTTGGTACGCGTTGCTACGCTGCGGCGATGGTGGCCCCTGCGAGTCGTCGGCCGGCGACTGCCCGTCGAGCTGCTGCTGCTGCTGAGGTGGGTGTGCCAGAGGCGTGCCCGCGAGAAAAGAAGGCGGCGATGCGACCGCCATGTGTAGGTTCGGGGCGAAGCCGGCCGACATATGCGCAAAGCCCGCCAGCCCTGCGCCGCCCGTCGTCGGCATTGGGCGGGGAGACGCAGTGACGGGCGTTGCGTATCCGGGCATCGCCCCCAAGCCATGGCGCGCAAGTAACGGGTTTGAAATTGCGCCCGGGTTTGCTGCTTGGGCCATCGGCTGGCCCAGACCAGTCGGCTCGGATGTGTCGGTTGTGTTTGGTGGTGACACGAGGTCGCTGGGGATGCCGGTTTCGAGCAGCTTCTCGAGATCGGCGCGCTGAATGGTAACATGTGAGAGATAGGTAAAAATGAGACGAAACGGCATGACGGAACTTACTATTGCCACGGTAGCTGGCGTAGTAATGGCCTGCTTGAGCACCCGCAAGCACACGTTGCCCATCTCGGTAACGCTCTCAGCCGTGATGCCAAAGTCGGCACCGCTGGTGTGCAGCGACAGGAACAACATGCGCGCGCACTGGAACACACTGAGTGGCAGGTCCAGATCGGCGACGGGCACGCCGCCGCCGCCCTCGAGGGTTAGCAGCAAGCTGAACATGTCGGCCATGGCCCGGGCGTGCTCAAAAATCTGGCGGCGGCAGATGTCGACAAAGCCGGGGTGACTGGCCTCGATCTGTGCCATGACGGCGCGCGGCAGGACGCTCGACGCATCTCGCGATACGCCCGCGTGGGCGGCGACGCGGTATAGGTCCAGGTGGCACTGCTCCCACATGACATGGGTCATGAGAAACACGCACAGCCGGGGCGAGTAGGCTCGCAGCCGTACGTTGGCCTCGGACCAACCAAAAGAGACGGGCAGTCGTGCGGCGAAGGCGCCCAGCTGCGACTCGAGTTCGGCAAACCGGGCGGGTAGCGATGCGACCTGCTCGGGAGTCGGGTTCGGGTTGCTAATCATACTCTTTGTGTACTGCAGGATGCGGCTGCGGAGGAGGTGCACCCGGATGTGCAGGGCCAGGAAGCCAATGTTTTCCGACATGGGCGGCGGGGCCATGCCGCCCGGGCCGGCGCTAGGTTGGTCCAGTGGCTCTGTGACCTCGGGCAGGTCAAAGTCAAAGTTGCGCTCGTTGCAGGGCAACTGGACGCGGATGCTTGACGGCCGCTGCTCCCAGAGCCCAAAGTCGGTGTGGCCGGCAGCGATGGAGGTGTCGATCATATAAACAGACCACATCAGGCGGCGGCGCGACTCTTGGGCGAGGAAGCAGAGGCGGGGACTCTCGTGGTTGAGGCGCAGGGCCACGGCGAAGCGGGAGGCGATGGCATGCAGCATAAAGGCAGAGGGGAAGCGGCGATGGAGAATGCGGTGGCGTATTATGAGCACAAGCGTCTGCAGTTTCAGCGTCGAGGGCTTGTCTAGCTCGCGCAGGACCGAGGCCTCGGCTTCGTCGATGCACTTGGCGCCGTACTCACGTGTGCCAGGGCCCAGATCGGTCAGCAGCGACGTGATTCCGACTAGGGCCAGCAGCAGGCCGCGGTCCATCAAACCGGAATGGTAGCGCTGCATGAGCGAGGCGCGGTGCAGAAAGGAGAAAACAGCGACGTGGTGGACGTGGCGGAAGAAGTTCTCAAAGGCCCGCGGGGCCATAGACTCGAGAACTTCCTCAGCGACGGCGCTGGCGTGCTCGTGGCCGCTGCCAAAGTTGCTCGGACTGGTGATGCTGTTGGCGTCGGCGTGGTCCGAAGGCGGGCTCTGACTGCGGTCCGACATGCGGTCGTCTCCGCCTGAGTGGTTACTACTGTGATGGTGGTAGTGGTGGCTGTTGTGGCCGTTGTGGCTGTTGCTATTCCTGCTGCCCGCCGCCTGAGGTGTGGTAGCGCCGGGAGGAGTAGGCGATGCAGTGCCGCTCGCCCCGTAGCCCGGCATGGCCGAGTCGGCGGAGTTGCCCGGGGGCCGCGAGCGCTTGCCAGGCTGGTAGACACACTCGATGCCCCTGGCCCTGCAGCGATCGCACTTGGGCAGCGAGCCGCTGCAGCGGGCCTTGCGCGAGTGGCAGTTGGCGCAGGCTAGGCGCACGCGCCGACGTGGCAGGGCTAGGGCAAGGGCGGACATGGCCGACTCGCCTTCGGGCCCGGCCAGGCCTGCAGACGATCCAGGGGCCGCGGAGCCACGGGCGGTCAGGGCATCGTGGTAGGTGCAGCCAAAACCCAGGCGCTCGCAGTTGGTGCAGACGTCGCGGCGGCCGTCGCAGCGGACCTTGCGTGCACGGCAGGTCAGGCACGTGTTGGAGGTGCGCTTGGGGGGCCGGGCCGCCGTCGCCGCCGCTGTTGACGGCGGCGAGGCCACTAGGCCGGGCCCAGATGCAGGACCGGGCCCCCCTGCGGCGGCTGCCGGCGACGTCGGGTCGGGCGACGGTGCGCTCATGTGGCGCGGCTCCGGGCCGGCGAAAGTGCAAACTGCAGATGGGATGGGTGGGGGTCGGTTGGGGGTCGTGTTGGCCCGTCTGTTAGTTGTGCGCTAGACGCTGATGACGGCGGTGGCACAACGCGCGACAGGGGTCCGTGAAAAGAAGCAAGTGCGGTTGTAGCAGTCAGTTTGGTGGTGGTGGCGGCTGACTGGGCCAGCACAAGGACTCGCGACGTGTTGTTATGAGGGCGACGGCGGTGTGATGATGGGGTTAGGAGCTGACACTGTGGGAGGAAGGGCTGCTGTTGCTGCTGGCGACAGCTCCCCCTCGCCGTCGTCGTCCCCAACCACAACCAGCCCCTCCTTCTGGGCGACAGGCGATTGGAATGCGCGTGTGCTCGTCGTGGTCGGTCGGCGCGCGGTGCAGCACTGGATGGGCTCCGCCTCGGCGAGCATTGTATGACGTCGCGGCCCTCTGTCGGGCTGGCCGTCGTGGTCGGCGCGTGGGGTTTTTGCCATTGGGGATGCCGCTTTGAGCTTCTTTTTCTTCTTCTTTATCCTTATCATGCACGCGACGGCACCCCAGGCTAGGTGGACAAGAAGGGGAAGAAGCGGGCCCCTCACATCACCAAGTGGGGCGGCACCTGCCCATTGCGTGTTATCTCTACGCCGGCAAGCACCGATAGCCGAGGTTGTGTTAGGTAAGTTCACCTGCCCCGATATCCGCTTTTTTAACTACTTGTAAATCTAGACCATATCTCCAATTCTACTCCGCAGCATCTACTCCCAGCTGCCGGGCACCCTCTGCTCCCTGCCCGTCATCACCGGCCGCGGCGGCAACCCCTGACTTTTAAGCTGCCTCACCGCCTGTCCAAACACCTCGTGCCCGCGCGTCCTGACTGGCGCGCTGCTCCTTGCACTCATGCTGACAGGTCCCATCCGCGGCCGTGGCTGCTGCCCGACAGAAGGATACCCAGGGTGCTGGGGTTGCGCATAGTGCAGCGGTGGCCTCGGCCGATGACACGACTGCTGCCTCGCCGGCCAGCCGCCGTACCGCGGGTCCCAGCCCAGCCCGCCGGCGTTGCTTGCGTGGATCGCCGACTGTGTGTGCTGTGCTTGTGCGGCGTGTACACTGCTCGACCTAGACGCCATCATCCTAGGCCCCCGGGTAGTGCTGCTGCCGCTGCTGCTACTGCTACCTGTCGTCCCCCGCCGCGCCATGGACGTATTTGAGAACATGGTCGTACTGCTCATTGCTGGGGTGCTGCCCTGCGATTCGATCCCCGCGTCCGCTTTGAGCTGGCTCCATTGTGACTTCCACCCCGCAGCCGATGCGTTGTCGCCCGGAACTGCTAGCCGTGGTTGTGTCGTGGACCTTGGCGTCGGCCCTGGAGTTGCTGCCCCGCTACCTCTGATGCCTTCCTCGGTCTTGCTGCCGCTATCTCCTCGTAGCCGGGGCGCGTATGTCGGTCTAGGTTGCTGTGGCAGCGCCCGGTCCGGAGTTGCCTCGCCCCGTGTCGTCGATGCAGCCCTGGTTGCCGTCGACATGGACCGTGGTCCCAATGGAGTCGACGACGCCGTTCTTCCCCGGACACCGCTGTTGGTGGTGCTGCTACTCTTGTTCCGGTTATGTTGTTGCTGCTGCTGCTGTTGCTGCAGCTTCTGTCCGTTGCCCACAAAGTGGCCGTTGATCCTGATCTCGTGCCCAACCATATCGAGCGGCGTCAGGCCGTCGGCGTACTCATGCTCGCACTTCTCATCCAGGGTTTCCAGCGAGCCCGCCCGTGACCTTTTGGATCGGTGCGACGACGGCGGCTTGGTATCCACGTCCAGCCCCAGCGCGCTAATCCTGCACGTCACATGCTCGGGCTGCGGCATGTCGTAGGTGCGCGAGATGCGCGGGAGCGTAAACGGCCGCTCCGAGGACTCGACGACGTACACAATGATGAACATTGTGATCCTGCAAGGGGGGGCGGTTTTGTGCCATGTCAGCTTCACGCTTGCGCATCAGGGAACTGGAAACGGATAGAGACTCACAGGCCAAAGGCACAAACAACCAAGTCCACGTGGCCCGGCCGGATGCGCGCCGTGTCGGCCTTGTTGAATTTGGAGAAGGATGCCGGCACCGCCACCATAGACACGAGCCAGAAGACGAGGGCGACGCGCGCCACGATGATGGCCCACGACTGCAGCGGGTGCTGTAGTGCTCGCGCCCTGTCGAGCGGCAGGTTGCGCCGCGCCGCCACCAGGTGCACGATGATGTAGAGGAGCGAGAGTATGCACTGCGATGACCGCTCAGGGATGTCAGCATGTCGTGAGTAAAAGAGGTCAGACGGTTTAGATGGACTAACGGCGAAAAACATAAACGACTGCGCCAGGCACATTTCGGGCATGCCGACCGCCCCGCTCAGCACGATGCACGACACGATGGACCCGATGATGGCAAAGAGCAGCAACGCCAGCAGCGCCGTCACCATGACCCGCGCAACCCATGGCCGCTCCGTCAGCCGCGGCAACGCCGTCCGCCCAGCGTGCTCGACGTCGCTTCCCGCTCGCATTATGTGGTCCCCTCTAGGCGCCGATGAAGAGCGCGGTGTCTGTTTCGATATCCTGTGGCCACCCGTGTAGCTCCCAACATAGGGGCCGATTCCCATGATTTGTAGAGGTTTCGCCCTCGGATGTGACAAGTCTGTGGGCGGCTGCGTTTCGATGTCGAGTCGATCGATGTCCCTGCGCGGAAGGGGTAGAAATAGATGGAGTGAATAGCAGATGAATCGAAACTGTAATAAAGTCGGATATCTAACGGATGCGATGGCGATGCCTCAGATTGAGAGTACCCAAGGCGGCGAATAGGCCAAGATCCGACAAGACCCGAAGCTTAGATGCTCGAGACCAAAACCACAGGATCTGGGGGACCGCTGGGTAGAAAAGAAAACCTTCAGCCTCAAGCTCGATATTCGAGCTCGAATTCCACATCTGCTTCACCAGCCATCTTCTTCACGACATCGTCGCCCTGAACCCATTAAAGGGCGGGAGCATTCTTCACCAACGTCCCACCAGCAAAAACCATCCGCCACCCGAGTTTGCGAGAGAGTCAGCTCAAGACTCCGAGCCGCCGCGAGCAGAGACATTCGGGGCATTCCAGGAATGGGCGGGCCGCGCTAGGGTGTGCGTGGGTGCAGATGCGGCGTCCGTCGTGGCTCTGGCCACCTCATGGAATGCAGGGCCAGGGTAAGACATTGCCGGCCACGCCGCCCCTACGTCCGCCACCTGCAATTCTCCTTCCCTGCTACCCACGCCTGGAGTCTTCCGATTGACTCGCAGGAGACACAGCGGCGAGGGACAGCCATCACAGGGATAGCGTTTGCTCAATGCAGATGAAGGGCATACGATAATGAAGAACTTGCGGGTTCAATAGCCGACACCAAGCTAAAACATAAAGGGACATGGTGCCTAAATGCCGCCAACAATGGGTTCCCTCTAAAATTCCAGTCTTGTGCTTTCCAAAAAGCGGCGGGTCCATCCAGGGATTTCCCAAGGCAAAAGAGAACTAGAAAACATTGACGCCAAAACAATACATAGCGTCGTCATATCATGTTCGGATCTGATAGAAAATAGAAGAGTGGATAAAAAAAAAAAATCATGGTAGATCAACACGTCCAGAGCAACTCTCAATCCTCCTCACCAACACGGGCAACGCCGTCGCCAACCCAGCCGTCACGCTCGTAGTAGCGGAAGATGAGGTCGTAGTCGTCAAAGTCGTGCACGATGCGGTCGATGCGGCGGTAGCCAGGGATGCAGTCGACACGGCGCTTGAGCTGAGGGAGCCCGTGCGAGTCGATAGAACCGGCCGAGGGCGATGAGCTGCCCGAAGCCGAGCGGGCGGCGCGGCGGCCCTTGCCCTCGAACAGCGTGACGCTGAAGCGGCCGGGGCGGAAGATGCGCACCACGTGGTCTATGATCTCGGCCACATCACGCCCATTCTGGCCGTGCGGCACGTTGGTCTCGAACGAGGCGTACGAGCAGTTGGGCTCGGGCGTGACGTGCACTGTGAAGTAGTGGCCCGCGCCGCCGCCCTCGGCGCCGGCCGCCTGGGGCGACGGGATGACGCCGTTGGCCGAGAAGCCGCAGGGCGCAAACATGTAGGCGTCGATGCGCGCGTCGGGATACTTGGACTTGGGGTACACGTCCGACAGCCCGCAGGCGTCCGACACGACCGTGCCGAGCGCGTGTCCCTCGGTGGTCAGCGCCTCGGCGATCATGGCCTCGTCGTCAGTCGGCGCCTTGTCCGCGGTCGGAGGCGCCGAGGTCGCAGCTCCGGCGCCACCCACGTCCTCAAATTCGAACATGGGCTCGCCAGAAAGCTCGCCCAGGCTGTCATGGGCGCTCTGGCGCGCCTCCTGAGCACGCAGGGGCACCTGCTCACACGCGACCGCACTCGCGTGGGAGAGGTAAAACTGCTTGGCGTGCTCAGGGTCCAGGTCCGTCATGAGAATCTCGAGCGTCTCGTCATCCTCCTCGACGCCGGGGGCCGCGTTGATGAGGCTAGTGGGGATGCGAATCTTGGCGCCGCCGCGTCTGGCGCTAGCGTCGGCAGCAGCCCCGTCTGCATTCTCGAGAGGGCTCTCAGGGGGCGTCCGCGGCGGCGTCAGGGCGGCCGTGTTGGGCGATGTGATGTACAGGTACCAGTGGTCCCCATTCATCTTCCCGACCATGTAGGCGCTGCCGCCCTCAAACAGGTCGTCGAGGTACTTGACCTCCTGCTTCCAACTGCGATGGGGACCCTGCTGGCGGTCCGGGAAGAGGAAGTTCTTGCGGCTGTAGAAGACGCGGTACGGGGTGGCGGCAGCCTTGACGTCTTCGAGCGAGGTGGCATTGTGGACCGGGAAGCCGCCGTCGACGGCGGCAATGCGCAGCAGGCGGTACAGGCCGAGCAGGAGGGTGGTGGTGCCGCACGTCTTGAGGATGATCTTGTGCGGGAAGACAAACATACTCGACTCGGAGAGCAGGTAGGCGTCCACGGCGTCCGACTGCACGACTGACAGGATCTTGCAGTTGACCATGTCAAGCATTTCGACCCAGTTGGCCGACGGCACCGCCTTCAGGCCTTGCGGCTTGGCACCAGGCGGCAGCGACGAGGGGCTGGGCGCGAACCATACCTCAAGGAGCTTCTCGGGGCCTGCGGCAAAGACGCGGGTGTTAGCTTTAGCAAACCCTTAGACAATTACAGTCCACTGTCGTGGAAAAATGACGTAATGCCATGTCCAGCGGTGCAGATAAGGTGTGGGGGTCCCCTTTCTGTCCCGTCGCTCTCTTCCATCCTATCACTTACCCTCAAAGGCATTGCTGGAGTCTAGGTCCTGAGCGACATCATGGTTGATGGTCAAATGCGGCGTGCCCGGCGAGGGCGACAGGGCATAGCTGTTGGGGACCTCGAGAGTGACCATCTCTGGCTTTTCCGTCTTGGCTAGACGATGCGGCAGGATTGGTGTCGCCGGTGCGGTCGGAGAGAAGAGGAGAATTCTTCCGCGGGACACTAGCTGCTCCTCAAACGAACCTTGCGGCGTCCGTTTGAGAGAGTAGGCCCACAGGAACGGGGTTGGGAGTTGCGGGTTGCTGGTTCTCTATCGAGGTAGGTTGGGTCTAACGTCTCGCCAGAGGGGACGTTAGGGAGGTCGGGCAGGGACGGGGAGAAGGAAGATCTTTGACGAGGGAATGGTGGCTGTGGTTTGGGGACTCGACCGAGGTCGGAGGTGGGCTGGTTGGTCTCGTGTCCGACGCGGGGCACGGAGAGATGCTATCGCGGCTGTGTGGCGGCAGAGAACGTCATCCGGGGATGAATGGGAGATGGACGGGTCGGCTCGAGGGGCGAAGGGATTCTGGAGCTGATATATCGTTAGAACTTGCGCTGTGTGTAGCTCGAGTCATCGCCAGCCGAGGAGAGATACGCAAGCAGCGGGGAGAGCAAGCGGGGGGAGCAAGAGGCAGAGTAGAGACGAGACGAAGCTAGAGCGTTCGAGTATAAGGGTCGCATCCGAATCGAAAACGACAAGCGTGTGCAGGGTGCGGACAAAACGAGCGAGGCGGCATGACGGCAACGTACCTTGCCGCGTCTGGATGCGATGCGTCCGGGAAGTCTTGTGTGGGCAGCTCTAGCGTAGATCCTGGGAGCTGACTAGAGGCGCAAAGCTTGCCGGGTTGCGCTGTTTCTGCTTGAGGCGAGAGGCAGTGGCTTCACGGGTAAGAATCGTCGGCGAGGCGAGGAGGAGGAATTGCTGGGAAGAGAATTGGAGCGACGAGGGAATTGGTTCGGGTCGGTGAGAAATTTTGCGGGAGGTCGACCGTTGGGCTGCGTCGCACCCAGTTTTTTTTTTTTTTTTTTCATTATATAATTTTCACCTTTCTTGCTGACCCCTGACGGTCGATTCAGGGCTGAGTTTCGATGGTGCCTGCACGGCTGCCCACGCAAACGCCCGTGCCCGCAGTGCTTGGCTCTAGCTCCAGTGCCGCTGCAGGCGATCGTCACTGCTGTTGGCCGTCAATTCAATGATCTCGATCCCGCCAAGAGCACAGACGTCGCCCTCCACACCCCAATAGAGCACAGCTTTGGGCCCTATCAGCCAGAATCTGACAGCACGCCCACGTCTTGGCGCTGGTGTCCGCGGCAGGCTCTTTCCAATGCGGTCGTGTCGTTACACTACACATGCATTTGATGTCGACAAAAAAAAAAGTCCGTCAGCGATCCAGGGGTACGCCTCTACCATGACGCAGGCCCATTGAGCGTCGACGGAAAATAGCCTGTCTCATGATTTCAGTCTTGCACACGCAATGGACGGGCGCTGCTGGGTCCAGATAATAACGCATTTTATTTCGCGCCCAATCTTGAGATAGGGCAGCAGCAATAGCCAGTCCACGCGGGGGTCCCTGTAGCTCCACAAGGTACCTACAGCCAGCACCTGCCCAGCTAGGTCACCGCCCATCAGACCGGACCGCCGCGACCACATCCGCCGTAATGCGTTTGAAGGTGGGTGCGAGGGAGCAGTCTGGGTACTTGTCCACAAGGGTCCCGTGGTCCCTAATATCGGCTGAGGTGGCCTCGGCCTGGACCGCATGGACCGCCTTCGGTGTTGCAGCCTGGCTGGCCGCTCCCAGCGTCCCGTCCTGACTGCCACCGCCGTCTCCGGGGCCACCCACCAACTGGCCCGAGCTCGGCACCTCATATTTAGGCCGCCGTCCCGACTCGATCAGGTCGACAAAGACCGGGTCGATGGGGACCCTGCCCAGGAACGGGACGCCAAAGTCGGTAGCCATAACTTCACCGCCACCCGACATAAAGATGTTGGTGCGCTCACCGCAGCACGGGCATACAAAGCCGCTCATATTCTCGACCACGCCGAGCACGGTGATGGCCGTCTTGCGGCAAAAGTTGAGCTCCTTGCGCACGTCGGCCGTAGCCACGGCCTGCGGTGTTGTCACCACCACGGCGCCTGCCAGCTGGCCGGGCGTCGTCTTTTGCTGTAGCGTCTCGGCTAGCGATATGTGCTCATCGCTGGTGCCGGGCGGCGTGTCGACCAGTAGGAAGTCTGTGTCGCCCCAGAGAACGTCCGACAGGAACTGGCGCACCATGGCCGTCTTCTTGGGGCCGCGCCAGACTACAGCATCCCCGCGGTTCTGCAAGAGGAAGCCCAGGCTCATGACGCGCAACGCCCCAACTCCCTTTGCAGCATCGGCCTCGTGCACCGTGATGGGTAGCCAGCCGCCGGGGGCCTGGGTCACCTTGGCCTGCTCGACCGAGAACATGCGCGGAATATTTGGGCCCGTCAGGTCGACGTCGAGAACACCGACGGAAAAGCCGGCAAGCGAGAGCGAGAGGGCCAGCTGGGTTGTGACGGAGGACTTGCCAACCCCGCCTTTGCCCGAGAGGATCTGCCAAGCGTTAGTTTTCAGGTTAGGAACAGTACAAAAATTGTGAGCACAAGCGAGCAAACTGACCAGCACAATGTGCTTAACCCTGGAGAGCGACATGGTGGCACCCTGCCTGGAGTGGTGCAGCCGTTCCGAGAGCAAGTGTCGCACTTGACGTCCCGCACCTTCGCTGTGCTAAGAGTGAGCCAATGCGCGGGTAGAAGAATGGTGATGTGCTCGTGGTGGCAGGAGGGGGGAAATCGAGTAGTGCGTTACGGCCCCAGGTCTGAAAGCACCGGGGTTGGCGGTTGCTAAAGATGGTCAAGTGAAGAAGTCATGATGCAGGAGCCGCAATCAGGGGTGGACTTTGCGATTTTGCAAAGCCGCTGGGCATCTTTTGGCGATGAATTTCTAAGCTGTCACAAAAACCCATCCTAGCCCAGCCGATGACGGAGTTGCCCACTCCGGGCAACAAAATAGTGGGGCTAGAGATTTCGCAACGAAAGCACGTGAAGCCTCAGGTGGTTAATTGGCGTTGTTGGGGGCATCAAGCATTTAACATAAATAAAAAAAAACAGGGCTGTGCTTACGCTAAAAGCATCGTTCTTAGTTAAAGAATGGATTCCTAAGGAAGATTATATTGGAGAAATTGTATGCATGCGTACATGCCTAAGTGGGAGCACGGCTGTAGGTCGACATTTGGGCGGGAGGGTAACGCACGGGTCCTTCCGCGTTTTGTCGTAATCGACAAACCCTGCACGCGCCGTAGCTCCCATCCCGCGTTGATGGAAATTTATCCCGCCCAACCTCCAACCTCGCGTTGCTCAAGCCCCAACTTTCCATTCCTTCCAATGCTTGGAGTCGGCACTCCCACCTAAATCCATCTGGCCGCGCCATTTACCAAACCGCTTGCTACACACGGGCTTTCTTTGGACCCTCGATTACCGCCTTCTCTGTCCTCCGCGCCTTCCCGCTTCTTCTGCGTCCTTGCTCGCTCCGCGTAACCGCCCACGATGCCTCCCATGGAGCTTCCAGCCGAGATTTTGGATTTAATCAAGGACTCGCCGCATAGTAGCCGCGCGTCCAACCCCAACGAATACCAAGGCTCGAGCGACGACAGCGACGACAGCGACGACGACGACGAAGTTAGCCATGCCCGAGCCTTGAGCACCGAGCAACCCGGCGACAGCGCGCAGGCTGTTCTTGATGTCGACGACGACGCCATGGACTCCCAGGACCTCGAAAGCTTCAAGGTCACCAGCGACATCGCCATGGAATCTCCGGGCCCTGCACAGCAGAATGCCATGGGCACCGCGCCTGCCGACATTACCGTCGCTGCCGTGAAAGAGATTATGGCCGAGCTAGGTGGAAAGCTCAAGACGTCGGAGCGGTTAACCTCGATGCTGGGTTTACCGGTATGTTAAAGTTATTACAGCCACTTGCGCTCGATTATTCTGCTGCTGAAACCTAACACGGTTAATTTACTATTCCAGGCTTTCCGACCCGCCAAGCTCGCACCTGTGTGGGCCGGCAGACGCATCATTTGGGAGCGTGTTGTCAACGTCGAGGCCATTATGACGCAAATAGTTGGCTCCGAGTGCCGCGAGCCCTGCAACCGCTGCAGCCTCAGCCTGGGTCCGTTCGAGGGATGCTATACGGTCCCCGGTCTCACTTCGTCGTGCGGCAACTGCGCCTACAACTCGCAGGGACATCGATGCAGCAACAACCCCAAAAACGTCGGCAGGGTGCCTATTCCAAGGGGCCCGCGCGACACCTACTCGCACAAGCGGAAGAAGCCACACAGCTTTCGAAGCGCTGTGCATAGCCAGTCAACTGCTACTGTTTCGGCTGGCGGCAGCAGCGTGGCGGCCACATCTCCATCGACCCGAACGATTTCCTTCAGCAACGCCGCGACCGACTCCACGCCTGCATCTTCGGTCACGGCAAGTGGCGGCGGCCGGGCTGGCGGTGACAACACATTCGTGTTGCAGGCAGCCCTTCCGGGCGATTTCGGAGTTGATGACGCCATGATGCTGCGACGTGTGCTGCACGAGGTTGCGGAGCAGCTTATTTTTCAACAGCAGGATACGCGGCGCATCAGGGGCGTGCTGCGCAACCTATCAGGCTCGTTGGAGGATTACGCCAGTGAGATGCAAGGCTAACACTGTGCACATGTGCTTTCTGGATTCGTTTATTTCGCTTTCAGGTGGCCGCAAAACCCGTCGTGATTTGGAATTACCAGTTTCCAACGGTAACCTTATTTGCGTTTGGGGATTTTTGCTTCCGAGAAAACAATCCGGAGTCCTTTTAGCACATTGGTTTTTTTTTTTGGGGGCGTTTATGGGTTTTAACTTTTGGTGATACCCGGTTTTTTTTTGCTTTGCTTTATAACGACAGCGTGGGACAGGATCGGGAACCTAAAACGCGCAGCACAGGTAGCAGATTATAGCCGGCGGCTGGATAAAACAAATGGCTTGGGAGTGCTTATCCACGGCCAAATCGATGGCACACATTATGAAGACTCGGGGGAGTCGAAATTGCGTGTGCTTATTTTCAACCCTGAATTAAGTTTATGGTGTTTACGTCAGAGTGGGGTAAGCGGAGGAACATAGGAATAACCGTAGGCCCGTGCTGTGCCAGGTCGCGGTAAACATGAACACTGGAGCCCGCCCCAGGCTATTGCAACGATAGCCGAGCCCATTGAATCGACTCGAGCTTGACTCGACATTGGGGTATCAATTGGGTCCATTGCACTGTTCCTAGTGTTAGCAAGACGGCACCTGTCCTCTAGCGGCCCACCACTGCGTCGCGTCCCGCTTCGGCCGCCCCGACCGACGACAGCAGCAAACGCGACCTGGAAAAGCACCTCAATAACACGTCAACACTTTATTCTCGCCTGAAAACACAACTCCAGTTACCCAACCATACGAACCATCGGGTAACCCGGAACCTTCCGACAGACGAATAGCATGCTCCAACCAGAACCAGCCAGCCTCAGGATCATGTCATAGCCCTCGCCCTGCCGCCCGCTTTTCCTTCCCAAAGACTAGCATGGAGGACCCATGGGGGTCGCCCTGGACAGCGACCAACGATGGCACATCGCCCACGGCAAAGCCCGCGCCGCCCCTCGACCTCGAACCCCCTCCACGCGCCTTTCTGACCTCGGCCGCTCCCTCGCTCGGCGTCCCCGCTCTTTCGTACCACTCGCCGTGGGAACACAACGATGACGACGACTTTGGCACCGCCTGGGCTGCCCCCGGCAACGGCCCCGACCCTGTTGCCACCGTCGGCTCGATATCCGCCTGGAGCAGCGGCTGGCACGGCGGCGATGCCATCGCCACACCTGCTTCGGCGGCGGCAAGCAAGCAACGCTCGAGGGAAAACAGCCTGGCTGCGAGGCCGCGAGACGGCAGCATCGGCAAGGCAGCGAGTCCCATCCCGTCTCCCAGCAAAGCACTATCCCGCTCTAGCTCTAACGCAGGCCTGCGCCGCGTCTCTTCGACCCTCGACCCCTGGGCTTCGGAGCCTTCGTTCGGCAGCAACCTTGACCTGCCCTCGAGCCCGCAGAGAGCCCCTCAGACGCCAGCACCGCTCTCGCCTGCGCCGGTGTCCGGCTCGACTGCAAATCTCGGCCCGGGATCACCAGGATGGGATCGGGTGGATGTGGAGACCATCAAGAGCGATCAAGACACGACTGAGGTTGCGGTCGAGGCGAATGAGAATCGGTCAGGCGCCGCAACGCCACAGGATTCGCGGACAGAAGAGCCACAAGAAACAACACGGCGATCAAGGGCTTCTTCGACATGTTCCAACGACGACGACGAAGAAGACGACAACAACAGTCGGCTTGGCGACGCTAGGCGACGGCAGGACTCGCCCATAACGTCCATCGACGAGGACTCCCGCGCGCGGCCGCTGCCTAAGTCGCACCGTAGCGCGCATTCGGTGGTGCAGCGCAAGATTTCTTCGAACAAGGTGAAGGATATGGTTGTCTTGTTTGACGGGATTGCCCAGCGAGCGGCGTCGGAGCCGCCAGAAGCCGAAAGAGGCGCAAGGGCCTCGTCTGTAACCCCGGCAGCTGATAATTCGAGGCCCTCTACACCGTCTGGTCGTCCGCGAACGAGAGAGGGAAGGGGCACGCCGTCGAGCCACAAGGCGCTGGCGGATACGCAAGAGAAGGATGGTGGACTGGTGGGAGATGACGCCGCCGAAGAGGCTGAGGCTCGACAGAGCCGCAGGAAACGCTCTGTGTCGGGGACGCCTACACCCAAGATGCGGCTACGGACCTCGGCCTCGCGCGGCCGTTCGGGGCCTACTGTCACTTCCACGCCGCGGCGGCCGCCGCCTGGGAGGACGGACTTTGGGGAGCTAAAAACCAAGTTCGGTCCCGTACAGTTCGTGCCGGACCTGGCAAAGGTAGATCTGATTTTTGTCAAGGCTAAGCTTGGACCCGTGGCCGACGTGGCCGACTGTTATGTGCCCGACACGGTCCTGCGCGACTGCTTCACCGACGTCTCGGAGCGCCGGGTCTGGGCACGCATCTCGCGCTTCGGAAGCGCGCGGCTGCACGACGCGGGCGGCGGCGGCTTCGACGGCGGCGACGATGGGTCGTACCGCCGCGTGGCCTGGCCCACGTCTGAGGTGCGCGCCGAGACGATCAAGACGGTGCGCCGCTGGATGGAGGAGGACTCGTTCGCCGGCGGCCGCCCCACGCTGGGCGGAGGCTTGGGCGCCGGGAACAAGGGTAAGGGCAACATGTTTGGCTGGGACTCGACGGCGGCCTCGGACGAGCCCGCAATGCGCCTCGACCAGGTCTTTGCCCAGCGGCGCCTGAAGCGCGAGGCTGCCGCCGCCAAGAGGCAGAGCGCACCGCCCAGCAGCTCCATCATGGGGCTGCCGCCCGTCGTCACCTCCACGGGAGGAACTCCGCCGCCAGCCTTTGGGACGCAGTCCGCCACAGCCTCAGCGGCGCCGCCCAGTTTTGGCTGGAGCTCATCCCCCATCGCCGCGCCCCCGCCCGCGCCGAGGTCTGCTGTCGGCCCTCCCCGCCCCACGTCCATGTTTGCCTTGTCGCCGTTTCCCCTGGGGCCCTCCACCTCTCTGTCTGGCTCGGCAGGGAGCGATGTGAACCAAGTACAGACGCAAGTGGCAGCCCAGGACGAAGACGACGATGATTGGGGAGAGATGATGGCGTCGCCGCCACCAACCGGAAACCCTGCCGATTCCAGCTTCGGCATGTTCCAGGACTGGCCAGGCGCAGCTCGCACTAGTGAGGTCCAGAAATCTGCCCGTGATCCCTCGCCACCGGCGCCGGCGGTGACCACGGGAGACGCAGCCCTTCAATCCTCGGTCTCTGCCTTTACGCAGCTCCCGCCCTTTTCTACTCCAACCAGCACAGCCCCTCCTCCGCTGGGAGGGGACGCTGCGCCTAGTACATCCGTGGCGGCGGATCCGTGGGACCTCTCTTTCTTTGGCCCGCCAGACGCGGAATCGCAGTCTTGGAAGCCTTTGGGGACACAACCTCCGACCGCCATTTCTCCAATGGCAGGTTTGGAGCAGCACAAGGCATCGGCAGCTGTCGTGTCGCCTGGAGTTCCAACACCGGTCGCATCTATGGAACAACAAAAGCAACATGCTGTCTCTTTCTCGGCACCCGCGTCCGAACCACTGAAGACTGCTCTCGCAGAGCAGGTGGAGGAGCACGACGGCCTTGTTCGGCAGATTGTGCGAGGCCTCCCAGATCTGTCGTATATGCTGCGCTAGTTCCTTTCTTGCTCCCTTTTCTCTTTTGGACATCTCTATCACCATTACCTTGGCTCAAGCGCGCTTCAAGGCAAAACGTTTGTGCTTTTCTGTTCCTGTCGCTGCTGAATTTTCTGTCTCACGCGCGCCCTTTTTGGATACACAATGACCGAGGGGAAAAGCCGAATCTCGTCTTACATAACTGCATGTCCGAGGCGTTTTGGAGGATGGGGTAAATAAGCGACACAAAATATCATTTTTGCTTTTTGCTCGTTGTGATTATGACTGCTTTCCCTCTGGTTTGGGGTGTATGGAGACAGCATGACGCCGGCTCCTTGGAATGAAATGGAAGCAAGTTCGTTTTCCTTCTGCGCGCAGGACAATCCAAGTCGCAGTGGATGGTTCTTCATGCGGCTCGATTGCTGCGGTCATTGTCGACTGTGCCTTCGACCGACGCGATGTTGCACGCGTAACGCTTCACCAGACATCTACCAGCTCCCCTTTTCTTGGGGGGAAACTCAGCTACCATGTCGAAATTGCGGCTGCACATGTGGCAAGCTGAGGATGCGCATGTCAGACATGCAGGAAGAGAGACAGGAGCGCGTGTGGCGTTTTATTCGCCTCGCGTCTCCTCCTTTATACCCAAGCGTCCAAGCACAGGTCTACGTGTAACCGCCGCTCCAAGGGGACTAGGGAGCACGAGGTCGACTGAGGGGTTCCAAGCGATGGGGCAGCACTCAGCATGCCCTGCCCCTGGATTTGCTGGCTGTCACTGCCACATAAAGGGGCGCCGGACAGGCTCCTCGAATGCGACGATGAAGAACACTTTTGAGTGTACAATTCAGTGTTTCTTGGGCTGCCCATGCCTCAGCTCGACAGCACATACATCCCCACACGACCACAATGAGCCTCGACAGGTACTCGTATATGCTCCTGCAGCCCGAGAGCAGGCCGGCTGGGTTCCCCCGACGGCAGGTCTTGACGATGCTGTCGATACTGGCCTCGCTGGCCTTGATATGGCTGACATTCGCTACTGTGTGGCCGTCGCTGGATCTGGCGAGTGATATCAGTTTTGCCCATTTGTACTGGAAGATGTCAGCTAACCATTACGGCTATTTGGAGAAACAGGACTGGGAGGCCGACACCACAGAAGGCGCCCCGGCAGTCACCATAAGCACAACGACGCAGCAGCCCGAGTTCCCGTCCGGGGCGGCCGTCATCATCGAGACGCGCACGACGCCCAACCTGGTGCCGCTGCTGCTGCACTTCTCGGCGACGCTGGGCGCCGGCTGGCCCGTGGTGCTCTTCACACCGGCGGAGGCATGGACGCCGCCGGCCAGCGCGGCGCTGCACCGGGCGCTGGCCGAGGGCCGGATCCGGATCCGGCACCTGCCGGCCAACCTGACGGGGTTCGCGACGCACAACTCGGTCTCGCTCTTCCTGTCGGGCGAGTGGCTGTGGGCGCAGCTGACCGACGCGCCGCGGGTGCTGCTGTTCCAGACGGACAGCGTCATCTGCGCAAACGCAAACGGCACCGTCGACGACTTTGCGCGCTGGGACCTCGTGGGCGCGCCCATCGCGCCGCGCTGGGGCAGGGGGTACAACGGCGGCCTGAGCCTGCGGAACCCGCGCCTGATGCGGGACATTGCGCGCTCGCACGGCGACGAGTTCCGGAGGGCCAACTCGGCGCCCGGCGGCGGCGCCCTGCCCGCCCACGAGAGGTTCGAGGACCAGTGGTTCTACAGCAAGGCGGTCGAGATGGGCGCCAGCCTGCCGGGTCCCGAGGTGGCGCGCGAGTTTGCGGTCGAGACGGTGTACTTTGAGAGGCCGCTCGGCTTCCACCAGCCGGCGAGATGGCAGAAGGATAAGATGGAGGAGATTCTGGCGTGGTGTCCCGAGGTGGCCATGTTGGAGGGGCAGGCCAAGTTTGGGTGAACTTGTTTGTTTTGTCCATTTTGTTTTTGTACCAGTTGATGCCGTCTTCAACTCTCCTTCGTAGTCAAAGGCAGCCAAGACTTCCTATCGGACACCTTCCGACGCACCCCCGCCCTGTCCCACGATGTCGCCGTCCAGATCCGCAGTTGCGCAATCACTAGCGCGGACCCCACTAGGCTTGCTTGGGCGAATCCTGCGTCGTCGCGGCGGGGTTTGGTGGTTCTGATGCTTGTAAATGCAACCTGGGACCCTGGATCTCTGCGGTAACAATATGTTATCTTGTAGAGATGCCGAGTCGTGATGGAGCCCCTTGTACACAAGAACGAGGATGATTTAAAGGAGGCCCGATGGCCATCCGTGGTAGGCTGTCTCTCTTCACGCCCTTATCACGCCTTCGTTGAAGCCTCCCGTCGCAGTCGACAGAATGGGCCTCCACGTCCCGCCCCAGAACCCCGCCGCCGATGACCAGCGTGCCAAGTCAGCGGCCCTGGACGCAGAGGTGGACATGACGAGCGGCCAGGTGGACGAGCCGGTCGAGGGCGTGTTTGTGCACGTCGGACGGGTGATACCCTACTTCCGCAACGCGCGCAATGTGCTCGTTTTCAAGCTCGACGTCATGCTGCTGGCCTGGATGTTCCTGGCCGGCATCATGAAGGAGATGGACCAGTCGGCCACGACGCAGGCATACGTCTCGGGCATGCGGGAGGCGCTGCATCTGCGCGGCAACGAGCTGGTCGAGTTCAACACGTACTTCTCCGTCGGCTACGCGCTGGGGCTGGTGCCAGGGCAGTTGATCCAGACCAGGGTGAGTGCTTGTGTTGCTTTTGTGATACCATCCTGCCGGCCGACTAACACGCCCCAGTTCCGCCCTTCCATCTTCCTCCCGCTGTGCGAAATCAGCTGGGGCATGCTCGTACTCTTCACGCACATAACGCCCAACGCGCAAACCATCTTCGGCCTCCGATTCTTCCTCGGCCTCTTCTCATCCGCTTTTTGGCCGTCGGTCGTGGCGCTCATCTTCAACTGGTACACACCCGCCGAGCTCGCGCTGCGCGTCGCCTGCTTCACCATCTGCGACGTGGCCGGCGCCATGTTCCTGGGCGCCCTGCAGGCGGCGCTGTACCGCGACATGGACGGCGTGCACGGCCTAGCCGGCTGGCAGTGGCTGTTTGTCATCTCGGGCGCCGCCACCGTCGGCCAGGGCCTGCTCGCCTTCGTGACGGTGCCCGACTCGCCCGAGACGACGCGCGCGTTGTGGCTGACCTCTGCCGAGCGGCGCCTGGCCCGCACACGCATGGCCGAGTTCGGCGTCGCCACCCAGAAGCGCATCCCGGCGTCGGTGCTGCGCCGCAAGCTGCGTGAGCTGGCCGTCCACCCCATCACCTACTTCTTCCTGTTCGCCTTTGCCTTTAGTGCCTGGGCCCACCGCGCCAACTCGTACTTTGTGCTGTACCTGGAGAGCATCCGCGACGCGGCCACGGGGCAGCGTGTGTACGACACGTACCACGTCAACATCCTGCCCCTGGGCGGCTACGCGCTGCAGATCGTCACCAACCTGGTGCTCAACCACCTTTCGGACCGCTTCCGGTGGCGATGGCAGATCAGCGTGCTGTCTGCCGCCGCTCACGGCACCTGCCTGGCCGTGCTGTGCGGCTGGCCGGCCGACGACCGAGTTGTTCTCGCCTTTTACTTCCTGACCTTTGCCACCAACGCCGGCGGCCCGTCGTTGATGGCCTGGTTTGCTGAGATCCTGCGCCGCGAGCCCGAGGCACGCTCCATCATTGTGGCCATGACGGTCACTGTCGTCTACATCGGGCACGCCACCATCCCACTGCGCGCGTTCCGGGTTGCCGACGCGCCTCGTTATCCCATCGGCTTCCCGCTGGCCACTGCGTTTACGGCTGTCACCATCCTCGTGCAGCTCGGCATGCTGTGGTGGGACAGGCAGCATCCCGACATGGCCGAGACGGGGTATAGCGGCGAGGCGGTGGAGGCATCAAACGTCGAAGTTGACGAGGAGAAGCAGGAAAGGTAACGGTGCAAGACGGATGTGGTTCTATTTGTATCCTGATCGTTGCTGTAACTTGCCGAACTCCTTTGTGGACAGATGGAGGGGTCGCTCGCAAACAATAGTCCGCGATGTTACAGATATGGAAGCCGAAAAGTACTTGCTGACCACCCTCTATGTGTCAATGGGCGGCTTCGTCAACGGCTATGATACCATGGTCGAGACATACCTCCAGGATGTTCCATCTAACGGGTAATCCTAGCCATGACACTGGCTCCGTCGCCGCCATCACCAACATGGCGTCCCTCCAAGCCCCAATCGGCCTGCTCTCGCCCACCATGCGTGGCTGGATCATCTCATCGCTCCTCTTCGCCGGCGTTCCGGTCGGCGTTTACGGCCATCTGCGCATCGTCGTCATCGGCGCCGTCTGTCTAGCTGCTGGCGCCGCCTTTGAGGCCGCCGCCGTAAACCTGTCCATGACCCCTTTTGGCCGCATTAAGGTCGGCCTCGGCCAGGGACTATACCTTGGCAACCTCCACGTCTATCTGACCGAGATTGCGCCCTCCACCCACCGCGACCGCGTCGTCGCCATGCCGCAGGCCCTGGTGATGCTGGGCTTGTGCGCCGACTGCTTCACCTGCTACGCCAGCACCATCAACTTGTCAGGGGATGCCCAATGGCGCATCACCATGGGCATCCAGGCAGTTTGCGGCGCACCCCTGGCTCTCGCATGCTGTCTGCTGCCCGAATTTCCGCGCTGGCTGCTCATCAAAGGTCGTGACCGTGAGGCCAAGATCAACATGCGGGGGCTGGAATTTACGCTTGACGAGATTATGCACGAGGTTGGCGCTATCGCCGCTGCGACCGAGGTTCCTAGTGCCTAAGACTCCCCGGTCTCATTGCCTGCCGCTGCTGCTGCTAGCGGCGCCGGCCCGTCGGTGGCGACGCGGGATGAGATGCCGGTGTCGCGGCCCAGCTGGCGTGATGCTGTCACCATTTTCAGCCGGGTCATCTCCGCCATGGTGCAACTTACTGGCGTCGATGGTGTACTCTATGTAGGTGCTTCTTGACGCAGCCTGGCGCCTTGCTTGGATCGTTTCCCAATTGGCTAACGCAAAAACGTACGCGCCCACCCTCTTTGCCGAGGCCAGCCTTTCTGCCTCCACTGCTTCTTTCATCGCCTCCGGGGTCCTCGGCATTCTCCTCTTCACCGTCTCAGTCCTGGCGTGCTTATTTCCGTCGGCGGTGTCGTGCAGGCATTGTGCATGGCCTCCATGGCATCCATGTTCGCTAGCGGCACAGGCCGCAGCGGGCCTGGGGGCTGGACTGTTCTTGTCCTTGTTTTCGTCTTCACGCTCGCGTACGCCTTCACTTGGGGCATCGTGAGTAAGATATACGCCAGCGAGATCCAGTCGGCCCAAACTCGGGCCACGGCCACCGCGTTGGCGCAGGCTGCCCAGTTTGTACGTCGCAACCTCCCGCACACCCTCTCCCGCCGTGACCCAGTCTAACACGGAATCATGCCCGACGGTTGTGCGACTGGCTGGTCGCTTCATTACCCCTATATTCCTCGCCCAGTCAACAGCCGGACCATTCTTTTTATTCACAGGCTTGGCCGTTGCGACGCTCGTCGTCCTCGTGCTATACGTGCCCGAGACCCGGGGCAAGTCGCTCGAGTCCATCCAGCATACCTTCAATCCTCCCGTCAAAGATTTTGTTTGCAAGCACTGGTCTGAATCGGGCTTCCGTCGGCGCCGAGCTGGTCGCGACCACGAGCATGCCCGAGTCGCGCAATCTGCTGCCGTGGATGAAAGCAGCAGCTGCGAGCTAAAAGAGCACAGATATGTTCTGCCAGAAAGGCCTCGTAGATCCGTTATTTCCGTATCGCTGGATGAGGGGAATCATTGAGCAGCGTCCAGTACCTTAACCCCGAGTTCGCGTTCGCTTCGTCCTCATCGCCACTTTGCTTGCCAGAAATACAGGAAATAAGGCCGGTATGGTGCCTAACTCCGAGGAATTGGCGGAAAATAAACGTATTCCCTTTTTATCAGTCAGCACTAGCTGTTAGAGAGAAATACAAAAGCCCATACGCCCGCGATAAACAATACGAACAAATCCGATGTAATAAGGAATAAATTCCACCCCGGAAACATTCGCACGTACAACAATGTCCCCCCGAAAGATCATTGCCGTCGTCGGCGCGACGGGAAACCAGGGGTCATCGGTGGCCAAAACCTTCCTCGCCGCACCTGGCTGGCATGTTCGGTGTCTCACGCGAGACCCGCGCTCCCCCAAGGCTTCTAATCTCGCATCCATGGGTGCTGAGGTGGTGCAGGCAGATCTCGCCGACCCTGCCTCACTCTCCCGTGCTTTCCAAGGGGCACACGCAATCTTCCTCAACACCGACTTCTGGACTCCCTACCTGGCCGCCCTCGGCGCGTCGTCACTCTTCGAGGCGTGGAAGACAGCCAGTGCCGACGCCTTGGACGAAGCCCGCATCCGGGGCTTTGACACAGAGCTACTGCACGGCCGAAACGCAGCCGACGCCGCCGCCGCCGTGCCCACGCTCGAGCGGTTCGTCTACTCGGCCCTGCCGCCCATGAAGGCCGCGTCGGGCGGCAAGTACCCTCACTGTCTGCACTGGGAGGGGAAGGCCGCCGTTGCGGAATACATCCTGGGTTCGGACGCCGAGCCGTTACGGTCCCTCGCGTCCAAGACGTCCCTCATTTATCTCGGCGCCTACAATACCAACGCCTTTCTGCTACCCAAACCCAGTGCCGACAGCCCTGGCGAGTATTCGCTAATGATGCCGTGCGGCCGAGACACGCGCCTGCCCATTGTCGATCCTGCCAGGTCGACGGGCCCGTTTGTCCGCGCACTGGTCGAGCACGAGGAGCCGGGTACGAAGCTGTTCGCCTACGACCGCGCCAGTGACATGACGGTCGGCGAGGCCATGGAGGTCTGGTGCCGCGTCACGGGCAAACAGTCAAAGTTTGTAGGGATGACGGAGGAAGAGATGCATATGCTCACTGGCCTTCCGAACGAGGTTCTAGATGGGCCGTCACATATTGGGGAGTTTGGCTACATGGCGGGTGTCACAGGGTTTATAGAGCCCGGCCAGCTCAAGGTTCCGGTCGAGACATGCAGCTACGAGGAGTTTCTGCGGGAGCGGCCCCTGGAAGAGCTACTGTGATTGTCTTTTGAAGAAGGAAAGATCACTCACCGTGGATCGTTTAAGCGAGGCATGTCCGCACCGCAAGACCTAGTTAGTTGTACTGCTCCAACAGTTTTGGGCTACACGAGAGTAGAGGTTAGCACAACCAAGTTTTGAACAAATAACCCAGCGGGTAAACATTCGGTACCAACAAGAACTAGCCTTGGCGAATTGTTCAGCAGCTCCACGTGACTGTCACGTGACTGCTCGAGCAAATGCCAAATTTTAGAGAATATAACAGGAAGTGCCAGAAATCTCGTCCTTCGTCGTCTGTCGATCTTCTCCTAGCAGCTCATCGCGCGAGGCCTCCTCCTATGGCACGCTCGCCTCAGGGCCCCGCTCCTTGCTGTCCACCTTGTCTCGGCGGCAGAGGCTTCAGGTTCCGAAACCCTAGGTTTAGCCGTCTTTTGGGCCCCTCTCGCAGACCTCGAAGTGCTTACATCCCCCTCCCACATAAACCCCACGGCCACATGGCAGAGGAACACGCAGGGGAAGACAGGACACAGCGAGCCCGCCTCCTCGGAATCCGGCCGGCCGGGTCGAGGGAAGGGAGAAGGCGCAAATTCGACCGCTGGACCATGGACTTCCCACGCTTGGCCCATGGAGGATTCCCGTCGGCCGCTGAAAAGCGTATGTCAACCGGCCGATTTCCCTGTTGCTGTGTGCAATGGCTGCTTCCAAGACCGCCGCGTCCAGGGCCGCCGATACAAGGCGTCGTCTAAGCCGCCTGGTGACGATGCCAAATGGGCTTGTGATGCGACCGTCCACGTGTGCTACACGTGCAGCCTGCCTCGCCGGCGAATCCCAGTCCGTCCTTTTGCCCGACAAGCTGCGCCAGACAAGCCCTTGGCCGTCGCGGCGTGCGTGCGTTGGATCTCTTGCGACCTCCAGGCGAGCATCTTGGCCGGCTTGGCTTGGGAAATGGCGGAGTGGCTCCCACTCTCTAGCACGGCAGGCCAAGGCCCGACGGTGTGCCGACGCCGGCGAATGAGAGCGGCAGCCCGCTCGTATGACGCGCCTGGGCGTTCTCGGCGACCCAGTTCACTGAGCCAGGACCCCTGCTTAACATCTTTTTACCCCGTTTCCCCATTATCGACTGCTGGGACCAGCGTGCCAGTCTCCACCGCAACCCCAACGGTGAGGGCCAACGCCATCGCCTCTCCCCCATCCATCCCCTCCACCCAGCAAGCTGCTGGAGCCGCTCCTCTCCGCCCTGCCCTCCATGATCCATCCACCGCCTACTAACCCCCCAACTGCCGCTACCCGCTGCCTTATTCCGTTGTACGGAATCCATCAGCAAGCCGGCCCGCGCTCCTCGGGCATGCGGCGATTTGTCACTGGTGGGGGTCATGACAGGCAGGCGTCGCGCACATCCGCTGATATCTGCAAACTTATAAAATGCGCTTTAGTGGTAGCCACACCGACGACAGCTAACTGCGCGCTAATCATTGCACTTGGCAGTTCAACAAAAAAACAAAACGACAATGACGGGAGCAGGCCAAAGCAGATGGTTGCAGCCCGTGGGGAACTGGGTTTTCTTCTGCAATCTATGGGTCAATAGTCGTGCACCTGGCCTGCCAACAGCAAGCGCCGCTGACAGCATGGACCCCGAAGCGAAGCACAAGTCGACGTAACACGCCGAGAGTCTGGGCGTGACGCAAGATGACGGTCCACCAACGCCGACGCCCCTCGGTCAAAGGGCAGGATTAATCTTCCAAGAAACAATTACATGGCCCGGGCATTGGCGTTCTCGGCGGCGCGGGGATGCGACGCGGAGCAACCACTTTGGTCCCAACACGCCTTCTAACCTCCAGTGCCTCCCACTCTGCCTGCTGCCATCTGCCTGTCGCCCTGCCTCCGGTTTGATGGCTCAAAAGCTTCCTTCCCCACATGGATGCTGGCCTCCATTTGCCCGGCACCTTTCGGCGGCCCGCCAAGTCGCCACGTCGACCCCTTTTTCGGCACTCGCGATGGCAGATGGCAAATAGGTCTGGCAAAATGGGGCATAATCTGTAACCCGCGAGAACTCGACATGCGACGCCTGGCGACGGTTCGCCTCCGCTGAGCTGCTGGATTAAAACCTTGTGCCCCCCTCGCTTGCCGTCCCAGAGGGCCCGACTTTGCTCCCTCCCAGCCAGCTCTGCAGTCTGCCATACCTTTTTCCATCTTGGTAGCTGGCGCCTAGTCAATCCTTGCTGCGTTGGTTGTGTTTCTTTTCCGGCACTGCGGGCGAGACTTGTTCTCATCTTCCCCTTTGCCCCCCTATTTTGTTCATTCGCCATCCCCTGCCCCCACGCCTTCTCTTCTCCCATAACCTACATACACGCAGAAGCAACCTTTGGCCATGTCAGAAAACAAAGATTTCGGCAGCGGGCTCCCCGGCGGCCACGATGACAAGAAGGATTCGTCACGCGGCGACTCGGACGGGACGTCGCCCGATGTCGAGCGGCTCGAGCAAGCAGGTCCGCCCGGCTATGGCGAGGTTCTTGTCAACAGTGCGAGGGAGAAGCACATTACCAAGAAGCTCGACAAGCGTATTGTGCCCATGGTCATGTGGGTGTACTTGATGAACATGATGGACCGAGGTGAGTCCTGGTTGCCCTGTCCTGCTGCCGTCATCCCATGTCTTGTCGCTGCGGGAATGCTAACGTTTGCCAGTTAATATTGGCAATGCCCGTTTGTTCGGTATGGAGCAGGAGCTTGGGATTACCGGCGCTCAGTTCCAGCTGGCCGTGTCGGTGCTTTTCATCACATACTGCGTAAGTTTACCGCCTACCGCCTTTGGGAGTCCAACGGGGAAGGAGAATTCAGCAGCTAAAAGCTGCCGCTAACGACGAGCCGTATGCTTTACCATAGTTGTTCGAAGCCCCCTCAAACATGATCATCAAAAAGCTGCAGCCCGCATACTACCTGACCGGCCTTACTTTAATCTGGGGTATTATCGCCACCTGCTCCGCCTTTGTCCAGAACTTTGCCGGTCTCATCGCCTGCCGTCTCTTGCTCGGCCTGTTCGAGGCCGGCTTTTTCCCTGGTGTGGTCCTTTACCTGAGCATGTTTTATGGCCGCCGCACACTGGCACTGCGAATCGCCCTCTTTTACGGCACTGCCGCCCTGTCCGGCGCCGCTGGTGGCTTTGTGGCTTATGGCATCAGCTTTATCGACGGCGCCCGAGGCATGCGCGCGTGGCGTTGGATCATTTTGATTAACGCCCTGCCTACCATTGTTACTGCTCTCGTTATCCCCTTCGTCCTTCCAAACAGCCCAGAAACGGCTAGGTTCCTGGACGAAGACGAGAAGCGCGATCTGATACGCATCCATGAGCAGCAGGTCGGCCGCGCCCATAATCTGAGGAATATGATCAAGAGCGATGTCATCGACGGCCTAAAGGACTGGACCACCTACGCCTACTGCTTCGCGCTTTTCCCCCAGCTCGTTATGCTATACAGCTTTGTCGTCTTCCTGCCCACCATCATCCACGCCTTCGGGTCTTGGTCCAACGCCGAAGTCCAAGCCCTGACGATCCCGCCCTACATTTTCGGTGCCATTGTTTACGTCGTCTGCGCGCACCTCAGCGACAAGACCCAGCGTCGCGGCTACTTCGTTATGGGCGCCATTGTGTCGGCCATGGTCGGTTATGGCATGCTGCTGGCAAACGCCGGTGCCGGTGTTAGCTACACTGGCTGCTTCTTTGTCACCGTCGGCATCTTCCTGTCGGCCGGCATTTCGTTTGCTTGGGTGCCCACCAACAACCCCCGCTACGGCAAGCGTGCCATCTCGACAGGCCTGCACCTAACCATCGGAAACTCGTCTGGTGTCGTTTCGCCCTTCCTCTTCACGCCCAACGAGAAGGGCCTTTACACCCCCGGCTACGCCGCCAGCATCGGCCTGCTGTGTGTTTCCCTTATCCTGAACGTCATCCTCCACCTCCACTTCAAGCGCCAAAACAAGCTGCGCGATCAGGGCAAGCAGGACCACCTCGTGGGGGGCAAGACCCAGCTCGAAATCGAGGCCATGGGAGAGAAGAGCCCCCTTTTCCGTTACGCCACGTAAAGGGCTGCCTGGAACGCTGGCCGGGGATGGGACACGTTATACGGCGTTTGTTACCGGCGCGGTAGGCCTCCTTAGCTCAACGATGTGTGGTTTATTTTTCCTAGTTCGCTGGCCTGGCTTGCTTTGTAAAACCGAAGCTTGGCGTCCCGCCGATTCCAACACTGTCGTTACGGGTTCGGTGATGTACTTAGAAAGATAGCGATCAAAAACACATTCTTGTCAGCACTGGCGTGTCCATTTCGCGTTGTGCTCGCCCTTGCGCTTGCCGCATTGCACCTCCTGTTCCCATTCGAAATTCCCATTTCTAGCAATACCTTGCAGGGAATGGACTTGGCATCCGTTTCTTGTTTGGACGTGGGGCAGATCCTCATCATGGCCCCTCACCCCCGCACTCGATGCCTCGACATTATCACGCCCTAGCGTTAGTTGAAGCCAGATTGGAAAAGCTGTTCAAGTATGCGACTAGATCTTAAAAGTGATGGGCCAGATGCGGCAGTCCTCGGTTCCTCAGTTCTGGGCATCCTAAGGCGCCTAACCAATAGCGACAAGCAGGTCGACGAAATCGAGCGTGCTTTGGCTCCTAATGTCCTCGGTCTCCAGCAATGGACCGACCATGCCCAGCGCTACTTCCCAACGCACCCACTCCGGCACCACTTCAACCTCCCTCTGGCTATTGCCTTCTTGCGAGACCCACCAAGGCAGGGCATTCGGCTGTCAAATGACGAGCTGGAGGCTGTTTGGTGCCTCATCCGGACAGTCTTAACCGAAACGACGATCGCTAATAACGTTACCCGCAAGGCCCAAGGAAATTTTGATGTATTCTTGTGGTGTCTCAGGGAAGATGGAAAGATGGTGGAGTCGCTCAAGCTTCAAGTACTGCTCCCTACGCGCGAACGACTAGAAGTGATTCATTCGCTCCCATTTTTTGCCCAAACCTGGGTGTTGTTTGGCGAAGCGATGGAGCGGCATTACCATGTCCAGCCATGTCACAGAAGTGAGGCGACACACACCGTTGACGGGATCGGTTGGAAAAGTATCAGCAGCGACGAGATGGGAGACGTGGACAACGCGACGATCGGACGAGCCGCTCCTCTCGCCTGACGACGCAGCGAACACGAAATACCAAGCAATGTTGGACGCGGTGAAAGCTTGGATCGACTTGCACCCAGATGTGGAACGGAGCAGGATTTGTATATGGCTGGTGCGCATTCCACTCCCAGGCGGCTCCTTTGGCAAAAAAGACCACAATAACGAGGCTAACCAGGGAACCACAGGATTAGGCCTGCATCGACCAAGTGGACGACGAGAAGGCCCAGGGCGTAGCGGCACTGCCCATGTGCATCACGAAGTGCGACGCCATGATCTGCATGACCGACGATACCTACTACGAGCGGGCTTGGTGCTGCGTCGAGGTGCTGGCGATGCGGCGGCTGCAAAAGGCGTACAAGACGCACCAGTGGTGGGAGTATGCGTACGACAAGACGCAAGAGAACAGCGTGCTGCGACCCGGCCGACCTGGCAGGGAGCCGGATGTCGCGGCGGCAAAGATGACGCTCGAGAGCGACCGCCCGAAGCTGGTGTTTCTCGAGCGCCAGGTCAAGCTGATGGACCGGGAGATGGGAGAGTGAGCCAAGGAACGGATCAAAGGACGGAGACGTATGTCGCGCAAAACTGTCATTGCTTTCTAAGCAGGAAGGGTGAAACCGCACAACGATGAGTATTTCCCTAGCGCCGCCGTCGTCTTTGCAAAGTGTACATTTCGGCGGTGGCTGCCCAAGCCCACATCTCGACCCCGTCCTCGTTCGCCTCCTTCAAATCGCAGACAGCTGGTTTTTTTCGTAGCGCGTGCCCTAGGTCGGCCGGAGGCGCCCGAGCGGGGCTGGGGACAGCAGGGATGTGCCTTGGTGGGGGCGGCGGCTCGGCACATCCCGAGGCCTGGCCATTGGCCGACGAACGGAGGCTCCCCGCGACACCAAAGGAGACGCCCGACATGCTGCTTCCCGCAGAATCCGACCTTTCCCTGTACGGCGGCTTCCTCGACATGTCGACAAATGGCGGCGGCCCATCGCTCCCGAGGCTGATTCTTGGGAAGGGGTCCATTGACGCTCTGTCCTGACGGCTGAAGCCGCTTCGACTACCGTCCCGCGCTGGCATGTCCTGCCGAAGCGAGCATGGCGACGCCGTCCTGGGTGGTGAGGGGATGTGGCAGATTGTGATGCGACCGGTTCTCCCGCCGGCCGGAGTCCACGACCGCACCTTGGGGTTTTGCTGCGAGGTCGGCCGTGGCGGCGGACCCATGCTGTAGGATGGGCCACGCATCCCTCCTTTGCTGCCTGCGTGCGCGCGAGTCGCCCGCCTCCCTCGGCCTCCGCCGCTGGTGCCGGTGTCCGGGCTTTCAGGCGTCGGGGCCCAGCGGTTGCAAGGAAGAGTGAGAAGCTGGAGCTCCGCAGGGGCGAGCTGTGTGCGGTGGTTACCGGGAATGTTGTGGGCGCGGCGGACAGGACTGCGGCGGCGTTGATGGTCAGGGGAAGCGGGACGTCGATGGCGAGCACACGGTGGACTAGGAGGGGGACTTGGAGGAAGGATTGGGGGCTGAAGGTACGGCTTTGGTCTGCGATTGGAGCCGCTGGGCGCCATGTTGAGATCATCCTCGCTGTCGACCGCCCCGTGGCTGTAGAGGATCGACCATCGGGGCGCGTAGTCGTCCATAGGCGTGCGGTCGAGAAAGTCGAACGGCCACTTGTGGATGCCCGGACACGCACCCGACAAGTCGAAGTAGTAGGTCATTTGCATCGTGCTGGCTGCTACGGAGGACCCGAGTGTAATGGGTGCTTGCTAGAGGAGCCCAAGGAAAAATCGACTGACGACGGCCTGCTCCATTCCTACCATTTTGTAATGGAGGCGTCGGTACACTCAGGGCTGTACTTTCCGTTTTTCGCAGGCCGGGGCACCCTCGGCACCACCATAGCAAGCCCCAGAGTTTGAACATCGGCATAAGACAGCAGCTATTGCAGCCATGCCACTGCGGCGGCATGCGGAAGACCCCTACTTTTGTTGCTCGAATCCAATCATATTAAATTGCAGCTACTTATCTCCCGGTCCTGTTCGATTCCCCGGCGATCAGCACAACATTCTGTTCCAATAACGCCCCGTACCGTGTCCCCGCAGGCTAAAGAAACGGGACAAACTTGTTGACGGTCATGTAAACTCCCTGCGGTTGAGACCGAAGGCCAACAAAATCCTCAATGTAAATGTATAGGCGGCAGAAAATGTATGTGGCGGAGGCCAAGAAGATGGGGGCTATCCACCGCAACGGCACCTCCATGTCGGGGTCTTGGTCGGGTGAAATGTTCCGCCACTGAACCAGCCAGGCCTCGAACCGAGACATGGACTTTGGCAGTCCTGTCTTTCTATGCACCACGGGCCTCGCCGCGTCGGCGGCTTCGGACATATCCGAATCCTCAGCTCCCCTCCGAGTCAAACTGATCTCCTCGTCGGTAGTGGGAAGGCGAAGCACGTTGTTGCTGTTTGAACCGCTGCCAGTACTAGCTCTTTTGTCCTTGCCTTTGCCTGCCATCTTCCAGAGGGTAAATAGATGAATTGAAAAGTACACCATGCCCAGGAAGGAAAAGACCGAGTGATAAACGGAGCAAACCCGCCACAGGTCGCGCTCTGCGGTTGTTGGGAAATGGAAGTTCCAAGCGACGAGAAGGCAAACGCTAAATGGAGCCTGGATGAAGAAACCAAAAAGGATGAGGATCAAGTCGTCGACGGGGAGAAATATATCGGACGGGAACCGATCCCAAGGAGTGACATTCATTTGTCGGTTGAAGAGGGGAAAGTGAACCCAGTAGGTCAACTCCGAGTAGTATCGCCAGTGCCTTTCCAGATGGAATCCACGCCTGGAAATGAAGTCGAGCGGGGTGCGGTAGTATTTATGCGGCAAGCCTGGGTGTGTCTTGAAGAAAACGCATGCCGTTAGCAGTTGCTTGCTGGAAATAAAAAGGGGTATGCACATACCTCCAGCCGGGCGAAATTCCGGATTGCGCGAATCGTCCTGTTGTCCTTAGTGTCGAGGATGGTAACTTGGCTGATGGAGGGCTTGAAGTACCAGCTGGCGGATGTGGCGATCATGACCACGGCAAAAGACATGGCGGTAAGCTCCAAAGTTGTTATGGGGTAGCCCCTGGTAATCCTCTGGATCTCGGTGACAACGAACCAAAACGCTTGCCAGACGGTAATGATCCTGTCATAATATTAGCGGAGCGCTTTATAGCGCTCAGGCCTGGTGGACACTCACTTGGACAAATTATCAACCTTGCTCCGACTGCCTATTTCCTCCTTTGTCAAGATAGGAAAGTCGAGATGGCCATGCTTGATAAGATAAAATAGCTGCTCGGCATTTATGGGAAATCCCTGGGGGAAATCGGAAGCTCGAAGGTGGAAGCCGCCCATGTCGGCAAAGAAACCATGCGTCAAAGTCCAAGTCGTGCCATGGGAAAGCTCTGGGGCCTCTCGGAACATCTGGAAGTGCAGTACCGGGTTAGGGAGTTTTTTTTTAAAAAAAAGCAACGGTTTTGGAAAAAGGGGCCAAGCACCTTGACACTTTTTTTTGCACTGGCCAGCTGCCCGATAGCAAGGCCAAACAGGAAGTCCGGTCCCAGGAAGCCGATGAGGGCGAGATTAAGTTTGTCGACGAAGTGGTGATACCATTTGTCGTTAGGGGAGGGGGCGTTGGGGTAGGTAGCTATCCACACGCAAAGGAAGATGGTTAAACAGCTCGACCACAAGATGTCGACTGTGCCTCGATCCTTGCTCGAAGCGACCCAGCCGACGACCTTAGCTAAGTCGCCATCATTGACAGTGCCGTTCACAGAGGATCTGGCGAAAAGCAGCGTATGAGCGTATGGTAGCAAGTGCTGAATAGCGGGCATGGTGACGCTTTCACCAACAAGGCAAAAGTGGAAGAGGAGCTCGCGGGCAAGCTATGCTGCCAACGTAACAGCGGGGGCGAATTGAACTAACAAGCATCGCTTGGAGGACGGGGCAGAAGTGAACAGCAGCCCTTTTGTATGTACAACTAGAGCTTTCGAGAAGAAAGTCAGGCCGTTTGTTCGGGCCCCCTCTTCCCGGGTCCCTTGCCAACCAACACGTCGCTCCTACACATAAGGGCGGGGCCAGCCTCACGCATCAGTAACCAGGAGGCCACATGCAGCAGGCCTCCCAGCAGGCTGCCGGCCAGCGCTTCCAAGGTTACATTTAACGTCCGGCAAAAACAGGGTCCTGTTCCGCGGCCACACGATAGGCTTGGATTGGGCGAAGGCTCCGAATTTGGGCTAGCGCTGCGCGGTTAAACGCTAGGCACCAGCCGCCCGGCGCTACTTTTTAACTGATGCCATCCATATGGAAGTTGGTGTTTCCAACAAACACAGTGATTCGGTACAGCCCAGCCCCATGCTGTCTCCTGCCTGCAACTAGCCGCTGTAACTGCAGCAGGTACCCGCCAGCCCAAGCGTCATCTTGGGGTTTCCTTCGTCCCAACCGTATGTACCCACCTCTCCCTTTTCTTCCCCATCCTGTGCTACTTTCACGTACGCGCCCAAAACTCGCGAGCGCCCACATAGTAGACCAAGAATTGCAGGTTTGCAGATAATCCCAATTCCCTGGGACGCATCCGTCCAATGCTAACGGCCCTGGCGACGGCTAGACCCGACGCGTTCTGACTCGTGTGTGAGGTAGGCCCGTGCACCGGCCCACCGACTTCTCCGGGCACGAGCACCCTCCTCCAACAGCACCCAAAACAACCACTGCATGTCAGAACCAACAGCCGCGGGCAAGCCAATCAAGGGCCCTGCGCACAGCATGATCCCCGCTGCTGCATTCGAGCCTGATCCTTCTGTCTGGCAGGATTGTGTGCCATCGACGTGCATGGGGCCGTCGCCAAGCCGGGGGCTTTGGCGCGCCGCAGGGTCCATCCCCAACCAAGTCGTGTCGCCCTTTGGAGCTGGGAACCAATGCAACTTCAAGTACTCGCCAAACAACCTTTGTGTGGCGGAGAGGCGCTTGCTTACTACATGGAAATTGCTCGCGTCTTATGCGAGGCCACGCAGCTGTCCTCGGGTGCTTCTGGCCCTGCGCAGCCGTTGGAGTGCCTTTTGGTTTGATCATGGGCTTCGTCTCGTCCAAGTCTTCCTGTGACAAACCATTCAACGTCTTGGGGGCCACTGTTCCCATTCGTGCTCGCTGGGAATGGCCCATGTCGCTCGCTGCCTGTCTCTATTGCATCGCCTCCCACATTGGGAAAATCCCGTCTCCATGTTCCCCTCCTTGAATGTTGCCTGCAGGGTTCCTAAGCTACCCGTCCACTCCCCGCCTGGCACCCTCCCCTACAACAATCTGTGCAGCGACATGGAATCCCATCACACCCTCGCAATGACAACAATATCCTCCACCATTCCCAAGAACCGCTGCCTGTACTCCGGCGGGTCGGCAGTGATGCTCATGGGGCCTTTGTGCGCGAGCTTGTTGAATAGCTTGACGAGCGACGTCATGGCCCGCGCCTGGAACTTGTGTCGCGCCCAGAAAAAGTCCAGCACCACGACCCGGTAAGTCCACCGCCCCTCTACGTCCAGAATCCCGGTCCTCCAAGAGTTCGCGTCTGATGAAACCACGGGCACGCCCCCTAGCGCTCCGCCGGCCCTCGATATTAAGCCCGAATCGCTAGCCGCATCGTTCGTATCGTCGTCGTCGCCGCCTTGCCAGGAGGGGTGATTGGGCCCCGGGTACCGTACCAGGAAAAGGGAGTAGTCAATGGCGTTGTGGTCTGCCAGCAGCTGCGTGTCGTTACCCAGCGTTTCGAGGAGCTGCTGCCTCTGCTGCTCCGTGACCTTGATCTTATCTGGGAACTCGTCGATGAGCTTGTCCTTGACGCTTTGAGGCGCCAGCCTGCCCCCGGCTAGGTCGCGCTCGGGGAAGAAGTAGTCGTTTGGCTTGAGGTCGTACGACTCCCAGTACTCGCCTGCACCGCTTGTTGCCCCTTGTCCGTAAAGCAGGTTTTCCATAATGATGTGGTGCGTTGGCGCGAGTCCCAAGATGCCGCCGAGCGTGGGCAGTGGCGTGAAGACCATGTCGGTGATGCGCACCAGCAGGCTGTGTGGCAGGTGACGCATGTGGGAGATGTATGGGTCGAGGAGCTCGTGCGTGAAGAAGGTGTGCTCGAATCGGCGCGGTAGCGACTTGATCATGAACTTTGCGTTGCTTGTCGTAAAAAAGGTCGAGCCACTGTAGCCGAGGTCGCCGACGGGCTTCAGGCAGGCGCGCGCTGTTACTTTGCCTCTGCTGCTCGTTCGGCTGTCGTCATCGTGGGTTGTTTGGCGAAAAGAGCTATGGTACTCGTCCTCGTCAAGCTTCCAGGCGTTGAAGCGCAGATCGCGAAAGTTGGCTGCCCGATACCGTGCTAGAAATAGCTTGAAGAAGGAAAAGAAGGCGAGAATGCATCGGTACAGCGCTTGCTTTCGCTCGCCTTCGTCTTCCTCGCTGGGATCCGAAATAGCGGCGAGGATGGAGTCCGAAATGAGCCACGATCGAATCTTCATTTTTAAAACTGAGGCTGGGCGTGCTAATTAAAGCTGGTGTTTGCTTTCGACGAGGAATGGGGACGAGCTGAAGCGTTCTCGCTAAGTGGGAAGCGCGGCCTTTGGAGGCTTGTACGAGTTAATGACGTCAGCCCCACGCGCTGTCACATGGCAAGCGTGTTACTGCATCACGTTTGGTATTCTTGGGGGGTTAAAAGCACGGCACCACCCGGCTTGTTTCGCGAGGACGAGATAATGGATTTCGCGCGGGCGCACTACGAGAATCGTAACCAGGCTGCGCGCTGGGACGACCGCCAAATCCGCAACGCGTTCCAAATCGCCGTACCGCTGGCTTACAACGATAACCAGGAGTACCTTAACCGCTACCGCCGCCACCGTGGCCGCTACAGTTCCGGGCTTACTAAAAGCGGCAGCGGGGACTGGAACGACCACACGGGTAAAGGCAGCGACGGGCAAAGCAGCGATAGGAAGAAAGGCGGCGTGGCTTCAACTGCGAAAACGATGGGTTCGTACCGTCGGCAAAACTAAATGGTGCCCGCCGCAACGCGGCGGGTGGGCATTTAACCCGCAACTAAGCGGGAAGTTAATTAAAAGTGGTATTTGCACCTTTAACAACCACTTTTTTAAAAGGACTTAAATTGCAAATTAACTTTACGCGCGCGCAAAACGTTATAATAAATTATTGCGGGTATATTCCAAGTTATATACAAGTACTAATTAAATTTTTATAGCTTAAAAAGCAAAAAACACGGCGCCGTGTTACAACTAACGGACATAACCAATAAGAGGATAGGTGGGTAAGGTCCGTCGGACAGGTAAAGCGGTGTTACGGGCTGGAGGCTCGTATAGTAGCTCCGGCTATGCCGGAGCCACGCCGCCACAACCGGGCAGCGATTTCGTAAAAATTCTAGCTACACTTACAACGCTACATCGTAGCGCCCCAGCAGCGACTTACCGGGGAACTGGGTTTTTTTTCGCGAAAAGGGATTTAGCCAAAAGCCTTTTTTTTTTTTACCTTTTGTAACAATATAAATTCCTTTTGGCTGCATTTAAACGTAAATTGTTAGCGTAAACCTTTTATATATATATATATATTTTTTAAATAACCGCACCGAAGCTTACGCGGGTTCGTTACGATATCGCGAGATTTAATCGGTATTTAATAACCGATTTTTTCCTAATTCCAGCTTTTTTAATACTAACGCTAGCTAGCGCAAATTTAAAAGCAATTATTTAGCAAATAACCGCATTAAAAAAATAATTAATTATTAAAAAGTACAAATTAATAATTGCATTAAAAAATTATTTACCAAATTCGAGCATTTTTATATATTTATTTAACAAAACCGCAAAACCTTGGTAAATACGTTTGCTGTTGGTAAGAGTTTGGTACTCCTGTTAACAACTCGGAAATCTCCTGTAGAGGGTGAACAAAGATCTTTATGATTTGGGGAAAAGTCCTATTATTGTGCACAGGGAGGAAGGAATTTATCTGCCAAAAGAAGGGCACAGGATTGCCCGTTATATGCGCAGGGACAATCACCTAAAAGGGTGGTTCCCTGCTCTGCCTAAGGCAGATAGAGTTGGCCCGTGCGGGATCCAGAGGATCCCAGAGCCTCCTGTAACAACCTCCCTTTCCGGATCGCACGCGCAAAGGAGTGCTGTTCCAACATTTGCTTTAAATAATAAAGCGTTCGTTAAACCCAACCCGTAAGTACGGATAAACGCAATGCCCGTTAGCAACGCAAAAAAAAGCGGGCTTAAAGCTTTACTTTAATTATAACCGTTTAAAAAGGATTGCGGTTTATTTGCAATTTGGTTGGTTATTATGCGTTATAAAATTACGATTAACGCGCAAAAAATCGGAAATTAAAAAGCCCGTTGGGCGGGAATTTTTACGTTGTTTAATACTAAAATTTAATTCCGGGTACGCGCATTTGCAAACCGTAACGGTAAGGACGGGGCGTTTAAACCCAATGCATTTATAAAATACTTTTACCATATTTACGAAAATTTAAAGCGCGCCAAATTTGTTAAACAAAAATTTCGAAACTTTTGTTAAGGTTTAATTCCATTTGCAAAATATTACTTTAAATTTAAAACCTTAATGTAAAACGCGAAAACGGATTGGCCCGACGCCGTTTGCATTTTTTATTTCGAAAGTATTTTAAACCAATAATTAATTAGCTTTTCAATTAAGCGAAAATTGCTAATAATTTATTACGAATGGGTTAAACGCGTTTTAGCGTTAACCGTTAAAAAGGAAAAATACGTTTTGCATTTTTACTATATCGCATTGTTACAACCGCGCAATAACCTTTTAGCTTAAGCTTTATACAATTTAACGCCCCCGCAACAATACACCAATAACGGGAACGTTTAAATGTTCGGGGTTAACGCGGCGAACGTGCAACGAAAAAGCCTTAAACCCAACGCGGTTAAGGCTAAGTAAATATTAAAAAAAATCGGATAAACTTATTTATGTTTTTCGGCTTAAATTTAGGTTTTGAAAGCCAGTGCCGTTCCAATACAGAAAAAACGCTAAGCTTAATTCGGGTTTTTGTTGCTTTCGCTTTTCCTTTTTTAAATGCTGCGCTTTATTATTTTAAGGTTTTTATCGCTTTCCTTTTGCTTAATTAAAATAATTGCTTTTCTGCATTTAAGTTTTTGTTGCTTTTTACTTTAATAAATTATAATTATAATTAATAAGTAATGCAATGTTACAAGGGGATCAATGACCGGCTTGGAGAGTGCTCAATGTATTGATAATTTCTCAAGGCCTTTAGGAGATGCTTAAGGAAGCAGAATCTCCCAGGAGCTCCTTGAGCGAAAGGCCTCTTTTATATAGGCCGTTTGAGAGACAGAGAGAGAGAGAGGGGTATGACCGGGTACGTGTCCCGGCGAGGGGAGCTACCCTTCTCGACCGGGCGCGTAGTACATGCAAGGTCCTTGTAATTCGTCCTGTTGGCCGTCCTAACGGCCCTTAATCGGCACCGGCTCAATCCCCGTGTAACACAATCCTCCCTTTCCTAAGGGCACGACCCGGGCCCTAAACGCGGGGGTCGTAGGGTTTCCGCGGGTGTTTCCGGTGGAAGTCCCTAACTTTCTCTTTGGCTGCTTTTCCTTTAAAGTTTTCCTAGGGCTTTTACGTTATTTTCGTTTTTTTGTCGAAGCCCAACCATTTAACAAGGTATTGTACGGCTTTTTCCTTTTGGCGTAAATTCCTAACCTCCTCGACTTTAAATACGTCCAGCAAAGGGGGTGCGTCCCGTAGGATTTGGTCCGGGTTAGGCTGGCCTTAAACCCTTGCGCGGTAAGGCTCGATAAGGGAGGCATGGAAGGTTGGGTGGATTTTCCATATAAGGGGTAGCGCGAATCGTATAGCTAAAAAGGAAATGATTTGGGTAATTTGGAAAGGGCCGAGGAATTTGGAGTCGAATTTTTTGATAGGGCAACGGGTTTTAATGTTTTTAGCGTTAAGCATAACGTATTAACCTTTTGTAAAGACAAGCAAGGCTTGTCGTTTTTTGTTTGCCCATTTTTTTATTCGTTCCCGGGCGGCGTCGAAATATTGCTTGGCCTCGTTATGGATTCCGTACATCCAGTGCGCATAAAATTTGCTGGCCGGGCAAGGTTTAGTGCGTCCTGGCTTCGGGGGGTTGTGCGCAGCTAGCTCGAACCCGTAATTAGCAAAAAAAGGGGACACGAAGGTACTTGCTAAAGAGGTATTGTTGTAAGCGAATTTAGCTATGGGCAATAAATTTACCCAATTGGACATTTTGTAATTAATAAAGGACCGTAAATAAGCTTTAAGGCTTTGGTTAAACCTTTCCGTTTGTCCATCCGTTTGGGGATGGAAAGCAGTGCTTATCCGAGGTTTAATGCTTACGAAATTAAAGAAGTCCTGCTACAAATGCGCGGTAAATCGTAAATTTCGATTTAAAATAATATTTAGTGGTACCCCGTAAAGTTTCCAGTATTCCCGGGCGAAAATGCGGATTAGGTCGTCCGTCTTTTTGTGTCCCTTTTTTAGGGGGATAAAGTAACCCATTTTGGTAAACGGATTTACCATAACCCAAATGGAGTCGCAGCTTTGGCTGTCCGGGAAGTCCGTAATAAAGTTTATGGCTACGGTATTCCATGGTCGGTAATGCAATTCCATAGGCTGGAATAGCCCGAATGGTGCATGCTTGGGTACTTTATTGCGTTGGCATTCCAAGCAACTTTTTACGTAATTTCGAACGTCCCCCTCAATCCCTGGCCACCAAAAGTGGCGGGTAATTAGCTTAAAGGTTTTGTCCATTCCTATATGCCCGGCAACCTTGGTATCGTGCTCGGATTTTAGGATTTTGCGCTTAAGTTCTAGCTATGTTAGGATTTATAATCGGTAGCGATGGTACAAAAGCCCATTATTAATTTCCTTCCTTTTATAAAGGGCCTTTAAATGTTTTTGGTATTTGGTATCGGAAAAAGCGATTTGCCTAATTTTGTTTGTAAATGCGGGGTTCCATTGCATAATTGGGATGTTACAAAGTTTTGCCGACGAAAGGAAAAAAGAGGGTGCTTGTAAGGTGGGATTAAAGTGTTTGTCTTGCAAAATCGTTGTAATCGGCTAATTTTTATTCCCCCTTTTTTTAGGCCTGTATTGCTTTAATTTGGAAAGTATATCGGCCTTTTCGTTTTGTTTGCCTGGGCGGTACGTAATTAAAAACCAGTAGCTAAAAAGCTATTGTGCCCATTTCGCCTGTTTTCGGTTAAAAACCTTGGCCGTAGTAAAGTAAGCGAGGTTTTGGTGGTTCGTAAAAACTTTAATCCGATGCTATGCTCCTTTAAAATAATGCTTTTATTGGCCGAAACTATCCACAATCGCGAATAACTTTTTATCGTAAATTTCGTAATTAATTTTAGCCAAGGTCATTTTGCGGGAGTAAAAAGCTACCGGGTAGAGTTTCCCGTCGATCGGGTTTCGTTAAAATAATACGGCAACCAGGGCAAAGTTAAATGCGTTAATTTTAATAATCGTTGGTAAAATGGGGTCGAAATGCCGCAGGATAAGGGGCGAAGTAAATGCTTGTTTGAAAGTGTCGAAAGCGGTTTGCATTTCCGTGGTTTAGGTTTAGTCCTTTTTTAAAAGGGCGTTGGCTATCGTTAAGGGTTTAACAATTTTGGAAAACCCTGCGATAAACCGTTGGTAAAAATTGGCAAAGCCAACCATTAATTGGCATTCCCGTAGCTGTCGGGGGGCCTCCCAATTAAGGATGGCTTCGACCTTGTCCTGTAACATTCGGATCCTTTTTTAGCTAATAATGTAGCCCAAAAACTTAACCTTTTGGGCTCCCCAAACGCATTTGCAAAGGGCGATAGCGAAATTGTAATGGGTTAAACGTTTTAATACTTCCTTAACGAGGTCGTCGTGCTCCTCCTTTGTTTTTGCGTAAATAAAAAGGTCGTTAAGGTAAATTAAAAGGCCGGCGTTAATAAGGTCCATAAATATGTGGTTTATTATTTTTTAAAAGGTCGCTAATGCGTTAATAAAACCCATAAGCATAATTGCGAATTCGAACAGGCCGTATTTGCATCGGAACGCTATTTTCCATTCGTGTTCCGGCTTTATGCGAATTAGGTAAAAGCTAATTTTAAGGTCGATTTTGGTTATCCATTTAGCGTTGCGAAGCCGGTTTTGCAGCTCCGTAATTAACGGAATTGGGCATTGTTTCGAAATAATCTTGGAATTAACGTTTCGGTAATTAATTATTAATCGCAAAAAATCCTTGGGGTCCTTTTTTTCGGCAAACATAAAAAGTGCGCCGACCGCGCTTTTGCCCTTATACAACCGGCCTACTTTTAAGTTCTTTGTAAGCCATGGTTTTAGCACGCCAAATTTTTGCTCGTTAAGGTTATAAATAGGTTTTTAATTAAGGGTTGCTTTTTTTTTAAATGAATTTTATGGTTTTAAGGCTAATGGTTGGGTAAACGCATTGCTGCTTTTAGTAACATAATAAAAAGGAATTTGCGGAACTTTTCGGAAATACCGTCGAATTTATTAGCTATACTGTCCATTGTAGGAGCTATTTTCGTTATTTTTTTAACCAAAGCGATTGTGGCGGGGTCGGTATTGGAAATGTTTGCCGGGTTTTGTAAATCGGAAACCCCGCGAAATTTGGGTTTGCAACAAAACCTGCATTTGTCGGTATCGAAGCGAATGTCGTTATGGTTTCGTTTAAAGATTTCGGTTGGGTAATGCCGTATTATCCATTGGACGGGAAAAAGTACGTTACAATCCGGGTCCAAATCCGACACGTTAAAATCCACGCAAAACCGGTGGTTATAGTGTCGCAGGGTAATTCGGGGAATATAATGTATTAAAAAATCCTTTTTGTGCTTTGTAAAGTTGGACATAACCCGCGGGATAATGCGTTTGGCAACGTATGGCTGTAATTCTGCGGCTAATTGGGTGGAAATAAGGTAACCGTTATCGCTGCCGCAATTTAAAAAAACCCTAACTATTCTTTTTTCCTAGCTTTTAATGCGTAAGGCCATGTTAATTATAGGTTTTGTAATTACCCGGGACGAGCCTGTAAATCGCGCTTGTAGGAAGGCATAAATGGCGGTTTGGGTAACGTTATTTATTTCCCATTGTCCTTTGGATGGTATTATCGAAACCTTTAACCCTTAACAATTGGAGTTTGTATTAATTTTTTCGAAAAAACGGTTGTAAATGGGCTTAAGATCGTATATAGCGAAGCCAACAATTCTAACTTTTTTGGCGGGCTTTTTTTGGTTTTCCTTTTTCGTGTCCGGAAGCTTAATCGCGGGCCTTTTGCTTCCGGCCGCGGTTTTCGCTGGTGCCGGAAAAAGGTCCTTCCTTTCGGTATCTTTTTTAGCGAAACAATTTCGGGTATGGTAATTATTTTTACCGCAGCGCCAGCAATTAATGCCTTTTTTTTTCCTAGCATCGATATTTTTTTGGTTAATGCCATTAAAAGCGGCCCTGGTTATGGACCAAATGTTGTCCTTGCAGGCTTAAGCAAGAGTTGGATTTTTGTTTGCTGCGGTGCGGGAATTTAAGGATTGGCCGTAAGGGGCTTTGGAGCTTTTGTCGCGGGGACGGCCCGCGTTCGAGCGCTTCGAGGTCGAAGCGGGCTCGTTTTTTCCCTTTTCTTTAAGTTTTCGGTCCTCCGTTTAAAACTTTTGGAAAGTGCTTTTATCGGCCATTATAAGCTTATAAATAACGCCGGCTTGTTAAAATAATTCCAGGAACTTTTTGTCCACGTCGGGGATGTATCCTTTATTGGCAAAAACGAAGCGGTTTATTTCCTTTGGGAGCTTTTTTTTAACGAAATCCTTAAAACGCGTTTCGGTAAGCTTAACGGTAGCGTTAAGTTAAATTAGCTCCATAAAAAACCCGGTAATGTTATCCTTGTACTCGAGGGCGTTTAGCTTTATAAAGTTTATTCGTTCTTTATTAAGGTCCCGGAATTGCTTGGCCAGAAAGCCCGAATAAGCGTTCCAAGTATCGGGTAAGCCATATGCTTCCAGCATCCTGGCTTTTCCTACGTAAACCTTTAAAGCTACCCTTTTAAAGTAAAAACCAACCCAGGAGATTTTGTGGTCGTCGTTAGTAAATGTTTGGGGAACGGCGTTTATGTAAGCCCGGACCATGTACCACCAATCCTTAAAATCCGTCTTTTTGCCATCGAAAGTAAGCGGGGCTTTAAATAAAACGGGGTTTACCATAAAAATGGCGCTATGCCGCCGGGAAGGGTCCCTCCCCGCGGGTAATGAATTGGTTCGGGGGCGACGCGGTGGTCCTGGGGGCTGCCGTAGCCCGTCCCCGTTTAAGTCCGAAAAGGAAAGATTATCGCCCGGTAAAGCCGGTGGTCGATAAAAGGATATTCCTTTCGGGGGAACTCCGCTGGTTATCCCTAATATTTGGAAGTGCGAGCTTTCCCTAGCTTGCCGGTGCATCGCTGCCATAAGGCCCGCAGGGTCCTCACGCATCGCTTATCGGTGCATGGAATTGGTTTGTTTTAAAGCAAAGGGAGCAAGGCTCGGGGCTATATTGGCCCTTGTTATGGTGGGGTCGGATCGGAAGGCGGAGAATTTGGAATAAGCCGTTTTTGCAAAGGAAATAAGTACTGGGGGCATGGCTGGAATGGCTTGGCGAAACGCTTATTGGAAGGCTACTCGGGACAGGATAGTAACCGTATTTACCTATTTGCCCTTGGCCAACCGTTTGTTAACTTCGGCAATAATATCCTCGGCGAAAGCTTGTTGCTGCTCCAGGGTAGTTAGGGGGTAAACACTAATTGCCTCCTGTTGCCCCTTTATATGGTCCAGCTTTTGCTTAGTGCTAACCACCTAATGCTCCGTATAACCGGCCCATTGTTCGACCGACCCAATGGTATGGGCGAAGCGGTAATGCATTTTTTCGATTGCCTGCCGGTAGGCTTCGTGGGCCTTTTTCATTTCTTCGTAGGCGTGGTCGCGAATGGAAGCGTCGCTAGCGGTTTTGGCGATAACATCCCAAACCTTGGCCGTAAATTGGTTGCTTCTTTTAATTATTCTTTTTTTAAAAAAGCGTGCCTGGTCCTTTAAAATGGTTAGGCCGTTTTGGACGATTTGGGAAACCGTTATGTAATTTTAACGCGTAAGGTCGTATTGCTGGCGTAACTTTGCCATTTGGGATTGTACCAGCTCGGGTACTTGCGTTGGGTCCCGTACCCCATTGCGCAAAGCGAGCATTGCTTGGTGGAGCGTTTAAAGGCTACTATGGATTTCTTTTATCCATTGAAAATATGCTGGGTCCTTTGGGATCCGGGGCTGGTAATTTATCCTTTGGGGGATAGGCAAAAGCTATTTTCCCCCGTTGCTTTGCCAAAGCTTATCGAAAGTTGGGGCCGTGTACAAAACGATGGTTCCAGTATTTGGGTCGAGCATAAGGGTATTTTGCCTCGTTCGACTTTTATTAAAGGCGCGGGAATGGAATAACCGGGGCCTCCGTGGTTTAATGGCAGGTCCCAACGTATCGTTCCCGGAGGAGGCCGCGTTGCCGCCGTTAATAGCCTTTGGAATGTTTTCGGGGGGTTAAAAGGAAGCCCGGCCCCGGGGCTTGGGTACTTGCTCGCCGTTTGCCATAATTGCGTTTAGCGAAAGGGGTTCGATAGAGGCGCGTCGACTTTCGTCGTACGTGGGCAAAGGTTTTGGCGAAGTAATGCAGGAAATTTGCTTAAAGTGGTCCTAATAAAGCTCGGCTACTACGTTAAAGCTATGCTTTAAGGCGGCGATAGCGTTGTTTTGTTATTGGATCCGTTCCGAATTGCTAATGATTTTTTTGTAAAGGTCCTTACAGCGTGCCCTAATTTCGTCGAAAGGGTTTGTATCCTTGGTATTAGCCTTTACCGCGTGGGTTAAAAACGAAAATCAATTAAGCTTTTGTTTAAAAAGGTCGTGCTTTTGCTTTTACCGAACGAAGGACAACCAAATTTTCCTAACAATTTCTTTTTGTTTTTTTTAAAGGATAGCGAATTGTTTTTTGGTAATTTTTCCTCGTGCTTGGACTTGTTGTAACAGGGCGGAAAGGTTTCTTTATGTAAATTCGATTTGCTGGGCGAGGCTATTAAAGGCTTGGCTTGCTTCGTAACGGAGGCGCTTTTCGATGGTATTTACACGTTGCGCAATAGTTCCTTCGTAAGTCGTTTGCTTGGTTTTGCTGTCCTCGAAAAGCTGTAAAATGGATTCGTATTGTTAATTTGCTTGGGTAAGGATGGAACGTGTGGAATCGCGTGCGTGGTTAAAGTCCTTGGTTAAAACGTTAATTCGAGCCGTTAGGTTTTGTCGGAAGTTTTCTTGCTGCCTCTCGATTCGTGCGAAGCGATTTTCACCGATGATTGCGAGTCCTATAGCTATCGGTAAGGTTACCTGGTGCGGGTTGATTAACCCGGAAAGCGCTCGTGGCCTTTTAAAGGCAAAGGTAGGTTTTTTGCCTAAAGCAACGAACGGGTCAAGGGACTTATCGATTGGCCTATTAACAAAAGCAAGCGGCTGCGGGGTAGCCGACTGCAAAGGCTTGTTGGGGTCCGTTATAACGGTAACCGACGCTAAAGTCGGTCTTCTAGCGGGACTATTGGTCGCGCTCGGTCCTTGTAAAATGATAAGTACAGGACCGCGATCCTTCAAGCGCAGGGCGGGTGCAATGCTAGCAACGAAAAAGGGAAACACTTAACCCGATAAAACTCTTTTCGTCCACAAAGGCAAATTTCGGCTTGCCGGCTTGGTCATCTGCCTAAAAGCGTATAATCGCGGCAACGCTATCAAGGATCTGCGCGATAAGGAAAGGAATCGAGCCCATAAAAGCAAGTGGGTGCTTGGGAATAGTTTGGATTAATAGCGCCCCTTCCTAACAAAGGTATAGGTATTGTTAAGGCAATCCCGGAAAAATAAAAAATTATTTGTTACAAAGGGATCAATAACCGGCTTGGAAAGTGCTCAATGTATTGATAATTTCTTAAGGCCTTTAGGAAATGCTTAAAGAAACAGAATCTCCCAGGAATTCCTTAAACGAAAGGCCTTTTTTATATAGGCCGTTTAAAAGACAAAAAGAGAGAAAGGGGTATAACCGGGTACGTGTCCCGGCGAAGGGAGCTACCCCTCTCGACCGGGCGCGTAGTACATGCGAGGTTTTTGTAATTCGTCCTGTTGGCCGTCCTAACGGCCCTCAATCGGCACCGGCTCAATCCCCGTGTAACATGCAATTTAACGAAATTAATTCCAAATTTTATTTTAAAAGTTGTAATTTATTTGTTTTAATTTGCGCTTTTTTTTAAATTTAATGCATTAATTATTAAACGTTAATATAAATATGTTTGCGGGGGTTTGGTTGCTTATTTAATTGCTATTGCGTTATTGGAAGCGTTTTTTTTTAAATTTTTATTGCTAGCTTTTATTGTTACGAAAATGGCTAAAGCTACGAAAGTTTAAGCTACGGAAATGGCCCAAGCTACGAACTTTTTCCCTTTTTGGGTTTTTATCGCTAGCTTTTACCGCTACGGTAATGGCTATAGCTACGGAGGTTTAAATTACGGAAGTGGCTTAAGCTACGAACCTTTTCCTTTTTTAAATTTTTGTCGCCAGCTTTTACCGTTAAGTAATAGCAATAGCTACGGAAATTTAAATTATATAGCATATTGTTACAAAGTAAACAGTATATACTGTTATGAGGAAGCCTTAAGCATAAATATTAAATGCCTAAGGCATCGGAAGAGCGGTCCCCTTGCTTGGAAGCGTATAACGCTTCCAGGCGTTAAAAAGGAAGCTTAGTAAGCAAAAAGGACAGGGAGTTACGTGTATATAAAGGGCAAAGGCCCTTACGGGACTTTGCACTTTAAATCCTTTCTTTTTTAAAGCATATTAACCGGAATAACCTTATACCGTGCCTATCCCTTTTGTTTGCAACAATTATAAGCCCGGCGACTTTTAAACCTTTTAACGTAAAGTAAAAGGCTTAGCAGTACGGATTTATTCCCTTTTTATTACCTTTATTAAATCGTTCCCAAACGCGCTTTTCCAAGCGCGTTTATCCTCCTTTTCCTTTCCGCAATTCTTTTACGGAAAAATTCTTACGCTTTCAAAACCTCCTTTAACAAAGTTTTTTTTGCCGAAGCAAGCTTCGTTATTAATCCTGAACGTTGCCAAAAACCTTTATTAAATTCCACTTTTTTAACTTTTACGTTTCTACGCTTTTAAAGCTTCCAACCCTTTATCCTTTACCGCTTTACTTTTACAAGCTTCCGGTTGCTACCAATTATGGGTAATATGGATAACGATTTCTTTGTAACAGCGTTGCTTAAAAATTAGGAATAATGGTTTACATAATTTACGGCGCTCCGTTAAAACGCATTAATCCTAAGGATTTGGAACCAGGTTAATTTTAATTTAAAATCCCCGAACGACGTGCAAGCCGACGAAACCTTAAACTTTAACTTTTTCGCAGCAAAGGCCCGGGCCGAGCACGTTAAAAACCATAAATTTAAGCGCTTGGCTTAGCAAACGATCCTTTTAACCAAAAAAAAGGAGGCTCGCTTAAAGGTTTGGCAAAGCAAAAGCGAAGCTACGCAAAAATTTAATCCTAAGCCTTTCCAAGCCCCTTCGGTTTTTACTAAAGGTAATTTTAAAGCCAAGCATAAAAAAGCGCTTAAAGCAAAAAACACCGCGAGCAAAACCGTTTCGAAAAAGATTACAACCTTTTCCAAATGGATTAACTTTTCCGTGGACTTTGTTGCGCTTGCAAACGCGCAGCTAAAAGCTTAAGCCAATAATTACGTTACTTTTCGTAGCATTATTATTTGTTTAAAAGCGCTCCACGCTTTTACTTCCATAATAAAAACTTAAATAATTTTTTAAAAGTACCGCAATACGCTTAAAAAAACCGCTAGCACTATAAATATTAATTAATAATTCCCGAAATTCCAGGCGATTTTTATTTAAGCCAAAATTAAAAACGTTTTTAAAGTACAAAGCCTTACGCTTATGCTTAATTTTTTTAAGCACATAAAACGCTTTAACTTTTTTTGGGCAAAGCGTTACCGTTAAAAAGTAATTACGGGCAATTTTACGGGAAAAATGGATATTTTGGTTACTAAATTTTTAACGATCCTTTTTTAGCACCGCATTAATAATTCGGGCACTAAAAAAAAGCTCGCGTTTTTAACTTTTGGGGGCGCATTTGGAAATAGGAACGAAAAAGCTAAAAGCATTTAATAAAATAACGCAATAACGTACGAATGCCCGGCTTGCATTTAAAACCATTCTTAAAAGCCGGAAAATTGTTGGAAGTTTATTTACGTGCTTACCGGCGATTTCGAACGCTTTCGCAATAAGCCAAGCAACGAAAAGTGCAAAAAAATTAAAATTTTTTTGGAAAAGAACCGTTGGAAATTATTTAAAAAGTTTTTCCTTTTTAAAAGCAAATTTAAAAATTCCGCTTGGGGAAAGCAAGCCGAAAACGCGTTAAGCTCCGGTTCCCGAACTTTAAAAAAAAAAATGGGATTTAAACGCGGCCGTACTTAAGGTGCCTTTGCTTTAAAGCGTTTTTTTGGCCTTTAACATTATAAAAAATATTTATTTTAAAAGCACGCTATTTAATAACTGCAGTTCGCTTTACATCGTTAACGATAAAAAGCGCTTTAATAAAGGGTTGTTCCAGTTGTTAAACGGTACCGAAACGGTTTAATGCGGCATTTAGTACCTTCCGATTTTAGGACGTGGTATTCGTACGCTTTTTGGCTTTTTAAACGGAAGCGGAAATTTTAAGCTTTACAACGTTGCTTTGGTAAAAGGCTTTTATATTAATATTATTTCGAAAACCCGCTTAAACGTTAAAAGGGTGTGGTTTTGCGGGAAAAACGCGATTTTGCGCATTAAGGAAGTTACTAACGGGAAAGTAATTAAGCGCTTTTAGCGCAAAAACAACGTAATGTTTTATAAATACAAGCTTGTTGCTATTTACTTTATATTAACCACGTTGCAATTTTTTCCAAAGGATACGGTTTTAACCTTTGCAATTAAAGAATTTTTACGCCGCAAGCGTGCTACGCATACGTAGCGTCCATTTTCGAACTTTACGAAACCGCAAAAAAATACCGCCGATTTTTGGCACTTGCGCAATGGTTATTTGGAATTACAAGCGCTAAAAGCTTTCGTTTGGAACGCTTGGAACGTTAAAATTAAAGGACCCAAACGGATTAAATGCGAAGTATGCGCAATAATTTATGCTACAGCCGTTGTTTCCAGGCGCTTTATAAAAAAGGCTATGCGCCTTTTTTGGAAGGTTTGGTTTAATTTGTTTAATTACCTTAAGTTAAAGTTAAGGATAAATTGGGTTTTGTTGTTAATAAATAAATACAACGGCAAAACTTGGAGCTTTATATTCCTAAACAAAAAGGGACCAACGGTTACTAAGGTTTTAAAAGAATGGAAAACGTAAGTAAAAAAATAGTACAAACTGTTTGTTGCTACTTTTAAATACAACCAAAAAAAGTTTATTATACTTGTAAAAGGGTTTTCGGAATACAAAAAATGGGCTTAAGCTAAAGGCATCGTTATCGAAACCTTACCGTTATACACTTACGAGCTTAACGGGATAATCGAGCGCACGGGACAAAACGTTGTTACGAAGGGGATACGCATGCGCGAAAGCGCAAAACTTTTTAAGCATTTATGGCCGGAAACGGTTTACGTTGCCGTTTGGTTAAAAAATATAAATCCTTTACCGTTAAAGGGCATGCGCGTTCTTAACAACATTTTTTTAAGCTAATTTCGGGGGTGGTTCCGGCATTACGCTTTAAAGCTTTTTACGGGTTTAACAGCCAATTTAAAACCGGATTGGGACGGCATTTACGCTTACGGGTGCAAAGCTTATCTTTTAAACGTAAAAAGGTCCTACAACGCGGATTTTAAGCACTTTAAAGTTAACCTTCGTGCCGGGGTTAAATATTTAATGGGCTACCAAACTTCCAACATTTACCGGATTTAAGTCCCGTTAAAAAAAAGAGTAATAATTATAAAGAACGTTAAATTTAATAAAGGAAGCTTTTTTAAAAGCAAGCAAAAAAAAAACCCGATCGACGTGGTTATTTATAACTTGTTAGTTAAGTACAACGAAACGGAAAACCCGTTTGCAACCCGAAAAAAAATTGCTAATGCGCTAGGGCTTTTTTAACCGGAAGAGCTTTAAGCACTTACTTCCGTTACCGAACATTAAAGTTAAAAATTGGGGGTGGAAAAGCCAGGTCCTATCGTAACTTAGGGTTAGGGTTAGGGTTAGGGTTAGGGTTAGGGTTAGGGTTAGGGTTAGGGTTAGGGTTAGGGTTAGGGTTAGGGTTAGGGTTAGGGTTAGGGTTAGGGTTAGGGTTAGGGTTAGGGTTAGGGTTTAGGGTTAGGGTTAGGGTTAGGGTTAGGGTTAGGGTTAGGGTTAGGGT